AAGCCCCAGATCCCGGGAGTCCGTTCTTTTTTTTTGGGGGGGGGGGGGGGGACGGGCTTTCCCCCCGCCCGGGCTTCCAAACATGTAGGAAAAAGAATATGCACATATAGATCTACGTATGTATATGACGGAGTCCGGAAACCCTGAACCCAAAAAGGTTGTCATCTCTTGAGAGGTCGACTTTTGCTTCCTCCAGCTTCCGCCAGCGGAGGCGGCCTAATTTTACTCCAGCCGCCTTCCGCCGCATTTCCGCGGCATTCCACCGACGAAGAGATATCATCTCCTTCGATCCTTGAAGGCAAGGCCCTCTCTGGAACGCCTCATATATATATATTTATATACACACAAATACATATATTTATATTTATATTTATATTTATATGTATATGTATATTTATATTTATATTTATATTTATATTTATATGTATATTTATATTTATATTTATATATGTACACACACCTACCCCGCCACTCCACCTGTCCTCTCACAAGGTGCGCTCTGACCAGAATCTCGAGGCGAACCGAGCCCTGGCGACGAGGTACGGGCAACTGTGCCAGGTATCAGCATATATCCCTCCTCCTATGGCCGACGACTAAAGGGGAAACCACGTGGGTGGGACGAATCTCGACGCCAAAACAACAATCTCGACGCCCGCAACAGGATGAAACACATGGGTGGGATGCCCAAGAACAAGTGCTGTCCAAATTCTACAGCGCCCACTGTTGGACAAGCGGCCTCATGTCGCAAATCGACGTCGTCTGCTGCGACGCCGACAGTGCGTCCTGCTCAGAACGGACGGAGGCGGCGGTCCGTCGTCGTCCCCATTTAGCAGGGACCGACCGTCCCGGCATTTCTATTGCCCTACCACGAGATGTTCTTAGAACCCAAAAGTGCTCGAAGAAGGAAAGCAAGGTTCTTAGAAAAGAAGCCCGATGTGTTAAAACAAGACAGACTCAGCCAGACATGTTCTAAGAACATTACGTGCAAACCACAACAGATTCTTAGAACATTGTTTGGTGGGCCTATAGGCGAGCCAGGACGCCTCGCCACTGCTTGACATTCTCTCCGTATCCTTATTCGACCGTGCGGACCCAAGAGCCTTCTTGTCCAGGAGGGCGGGGACCGTCGAGCCGTCCTTCTGCTTGCGCGCCTCAGCCGTCGGCGGCCCGCTCTTGGACCAAATGGACTGCTCGGCGCTGGTCCCACGGCCGGCTGGCCGCCCGAGGAGCCGCCGGGGTGGTCAGAAGGGGCGTCTCTTCACTCAGATTCTGGCAAGTGAACTTGCATGGCAATTCCCCCCCCCTCCTCCGCTTTTCAACCAGCGCTGTGCCGAAGAGGCGTGCTCGTGAATCCCGACTTGTTGCGTGAAGTGCGGATTTCTTTTCGGGCCTCGCCACGCTTGCCCCCCTCCATGCAAGTAAATTTGCCTGGATCTAAACAAAAACAAACTCGAGGCAACTCCTGGGAGGTCATCGTAACGATGAACAGCTATGGCGACGCATTGAAAGGCCATTCGGCCGGATTTGCCCAGTTCAGCTATAGCCCAAAAATAAGCCGGATGAAACGGGACTGAGCGGGAATAGGGCAGATTGGCCCAGTATTGGGCGGCAGCGGATATAGCAGCGCCAGTGCTGGATTAAACATCGCAGGAGTGGCGTCCTAACGGGGTGGAGCCGGGATCGAGTGGTCGCGACCCGAGGTTCGATGATTCGACTGTTTCGTGCGCCCTGCGGCCAGGAAAGTTTGCTCAGCGTGTCGCGACGGCGGCTCCAGCGACACACTATTCCCTGCAAGCGAATAGCGCGTCGCTCGGTTCCGCGTGGCGGTAGGCTAGGATAGGCTCGGTACGCTGACGATCCGGGACTCGGGCGTGGATGGGGTACCCATACACATGCTCCCCGGACCTCTCCCTGGGTGCGTTTTGACCAAAATGTCGAAGCGAATCCAACGGTGGCGACGAGGGTTTCCAGGAGGCCCAAACAGGCAAAACCATGGAAGGGTATCGCTCAGGGTACCGCTTCCTCTTCTAAGACTAGGGCGTGGTAGCATGTCGACCCGAAGCGCGGTGGGCCAGAACTGGCGGAACATGATGGACCCACGAACCCGGAAAGGGATATAGACATGTGGAGCATGGACACGTTTTCATGATACCCAACTGGGCAACACCTCACGAAACATCCCACGAGACACCTCACGAAACAGCCCACGAGACACCTCACGAAACATTCCACGAGACACCTCACGAAACATTTCACGAGACACCCCGCGAAACATTCCACGAGACACCCCACGAAACATTCCACGACGACAGGCAACCACTCAACCAAGGCGGTGTGGTCGTGCTGGGGAGTGGTCGTGCTGGGGTGTGGTCGTGCTGGGGGGTGGTCGTGCTGGGGCGTGGTCGTGCTGGGGGGGTGGTCGTGCTGGGGGGTGGTTGTGCTGGGGTGTGGTCGTGCTGTCGTGCTGGGGTGTGGTCGTGCTGGGGCGTGGTCGTGCTGGGGCGTGGTCGTGCTGGGGTGTGGTCGTGCTGTGGTGAGGTCGTGCTGGGGTGTGGTCGTGCTGGGGTGTGGTCTTGCTGGGGTAGGGTCGTGCTGGGGTCGGGTCGTGCTGGGGTGTGGTCGTGCTGGGGTATGGTCGTGCTGGGGTGGGGTCGTGCTGGGGTGGGGTCGTGCTGGGGTCTGGTCGTGCTGGGGTGTGGTCGTGCTGGGGTATGGTCGTGCTAGGGTGGGGTCGTGCATTTCGCTCGAGACATCCTGCCAAAATTCCAGGAAATCGTACAAAAACAAAGGAATTAGTCGAGACATCATCGAAATTCCTTCGCGCGGGGCGCTTTTCCGCGTCGCGGTCGGCTCTGCAAAACAAGCGTTTCGCTCGAGACATCCTCGGCAAACTCTGCGGAGCAAGCGTTTCGCTCGAGACATCCTCTGGTCGTGCTAGGGTGGGGTCGTGCATTTCGCTCGAGACATCCTGCCAAAATTCCAGGAAATCGTACAAAAACAAAGGAATTAGTCGAGACATCATCGAAATTCCTTCGCGCGGGGCGCTTTTCCGCGTCGCGGTCGGCTCTGCAAAACAAGCGTTTCGCTCGAGACATCCTCGGCAAACTCTGCGGAGCAAGCGTTTCGCTCGAGACATCCTCAACACACGAAAAAGTGGCCCGCACCCTGTGATTTATCGATCGGGATTTCAAAAACAAGCGTTTCGCTCGAGACATCCTCAAATTTTAATTCGCCGGCCTCCTTCGACCTCGTTATTTATCAGGGAAAAAATTCGCCGGCCTCCCTCAAGTTGGCACCGGGGGACAGGTTTACCTACTAAAAGAGAACCCTGGGCCCCCCCCTTTCCGGGAAAAAAAAAAGGAATTAGTCGAGACATCATCGAAATTCCTTCGCGCGGGGCGCTTTTCCGCGTCGCGGTCGGCTCTGCAAAACAAGCGTTTCGCTCGAGACATCCTCGGCAAACTCTGCGGAGCAAGCGTTTCGCTCGAGACATCCTCAACACACGAAAAAGTGGCCCGCACCCTGTGATTTATCGATCGGGATTTCAAAAACAAGCGTTTCGCTCGAGACATCCTCAAATTTTAATTCGCCGGCCTCCTTCGACCTCGTTATTTATCAGGGAAAAAATTCGCCGGCCTCCCTCAAGTTGGCACCGGGGGACAGGTTTACCTACTAAAAGAGAACCCTGGGCCCCCGCCCTTTCCGGGAAAAAGGTTCCCGACCGCCCAGCCGGACCAAAATCAGAATAACATCCTCCATGGGCATGCGACCCTCCGCCAGCCAGAACACCGTCAAAAACCATGGGATCACCGAGAAAACTCTTCCCCAGGATGTGCAATAACGCACGACAGACACGAACAACATGAGGGTACCCCTTTAGTGGGCCGTGGAAGCGGCAAGGCCATGTTTCACCGCTTCCGAGAAAATCCCTTGACCATGGAAGCGGTTTTTACAAAAGGCAACCGGAAACGGCAACAAACACAGCACTGGAATTGGAGCCGGAGCCGGAAACGGAGAAAACAACGGCGACGGAACGACCAACGAAAACGGCAAGACGGAACTGGTAGAAAAACGGCCCTGTCGTCTCCAGGGCCTACTAAAGGGTACTGGCACCTTCCCCCCGAGACGACCTCGACCTCATACCTCGGCCCGACCCCATAGCCCTTGTGTGCAGGGTGCGCGCTTCCGCCGCGCGGCTGCCCGCCGCACTGCCTGCCGCTCCAACCGCGGTGCGACCGTTCCTTCCGCCGCCGACCATCAAAGATCTTCTTGCGCCGTGCCTGCCCCCCCTCTCTCGCTAGGCCTCTGGGGATTTCCGCGGCGGGACGCACACCTCCACTGAAAACTAATTGCGCTAACGGCCGTTGCCGCCTCGGTGCCGCGGCGTTGCCGCGTCGGTGGCGTCGTCCTTGATGAGGTACTGGTTGTTCACGTTCTCGGTCACTGGTCTTGGCGGATGGACGGATGCCCCGACGGACCCTGGAGCAACGTCTCCTGCCACAGTGAAGGGGAAGAGGTGCACGAAGGCGATGATGTTGAAGGCGGATGTAGAGCGGGAGCGGCATGACGTGGTGTTCCTGCGGATGGGCTGGTCCAGCCCTGACGTACCCATGAGTAGCGTCTTCTGCAGTCGTCGCGATGTAGAGCGACGGAAGGTGGGTGCCATGGCCATCGAGGCGAAGCGGGACAGGGCGGCCGTGGTGGGAGCACGGGCGAACCTGACCCGCTATCAACTAGAAATGAGAAGATGTAAAAGGGCAAGTCTTCCTTAACGCGGAATGTGGTATGGGTGAAATATCTGAAGGCGTGTCTCAGGCGGGCACGGAAGCTTGGCCAACTTCCACGCTCCCGAGCAAAACGGGCGGCGGAAAAGGGGAGAGCATCACAACAGGCAGAGGTGAGAGGGGACAGGTGAGCTACAGTTCGAGTAGGGGGAGGAGGAGATCGACGCCGAGGACGAGGAGGAGGAGGAGGAGGAGGAGGAGGAGGAGACAGACTGCTCACTTGGACCGGTCATACACCTGGCGAGGGGCCCCTCGAGGCCGCGGGCGCCCCACCGCGAGCGCCTCGGGCCATCCGCCCGTGGCCCCTCGGGGCCGGCAGCCGGCCGCAGCGCTGATGAGGAACTCCCGCTTCTTGATGTGCTTCGCGGTCAGGGGCCCCGAGGGGTAGAACAGGCTCCTGCTCTTCGGCCTGGCGCGAAGGGGCGAGGAGGAGCGAGGGGCGAGGCGAGCGAGACAAGCAAGGAGGGGATCGAGAGGAGGATGACGATGATGAGGATGAGGAAGGGGAGAAAGAGGGGAGGAAGAGGAGGAGGGAGGAAGAGGAGGAAGAGGACCAGTGCAAACCCAAGACCCATCAACCATGTTCGAGTCAACCCTCACTCCAAGCTCCCTCTTGATAGGCACCTACAAGGATTCATTTCCACTGAGGAAGGAGCCCCGTTGGGAGACAACCGTTTGAAGATCATGAAGCGCGCAACAACACCGTTCTCGGGACTCCAGCGCCACGAACCGAATGGACTGTTGCGTCTGGACAATCCTGAATCGTGCCAGAACGCCACTCCTGGGACTTAGGCGCCGCGAGTCAACGTAACTGCTGCGCCCTGACAGTCCTGAACCTTTCCAAAACACAATGTGTGGTACGCTGGCCATTGGAATTCGCGAACCTCTTGCAACAGTTGAAAATGAGCAAACGCGGCGCTACGACGAAAAACACCTTCTGAAAGAGGACCACCCTCAATCCGTGAAGCTCTTGCAACGGTTGAAAATGAGTGTGCGCCGAGCTGAAGCGAGAGCCACAGTTTGAAAACTGCCCGCCCTCAATCGGTGAAGCTCCTGTATGTTGCTTGACGAATGTGCGCGGCGCCAACGCGAGAACCACATGTTGTGAAGCTCTGGCACATCGTTAAGGCGAAATGGGGACACTACTGCGAAAACAGTATTTTGAACACGGCCCGCTCCCGATCCGTGAAAATCTGGCACATCTTCAAGACGAGCGTGCGCAGTGCTAAGGCGCGAACCACATGTGGAAAACCACCAGCACTCCATGTGTGAAAGTATTGCAAACGGTTGACATTCAAGGCCAAAATTGGTGAGGAAGTCTCATGCAACACACAAAGCCCGCCCTTTCGACTGGCCTCGGGAGGCGTCAGTGAAAGGTTATTCATATAGAAAAGAATGGAGGGGGAGGAGGAGGAGAAGGAGGAAGAGGAGGAAAAGGAGTAGGAGGAGGAGGAGGAGCGAGGAGGCGCGAGGAGGAGCGAGGGGGAGGAGGAGCAGGAGGAGAACAGGCTCCTGCTCTTCGGCCTGGCGAGGAGGAGCGAGGAGGAGCGAGGAGGAGCGAGGGGCGAGACCAGCGAGAAAAACAAGGACAGGATCGATGAGAGGAGGAGGAGGAGGAGAGGAAGATGGGAGAAGGAGGAGGAGGAGGAGGAGGGGAGAAGGAGGAAGAGTATGAGGAGGAGGAGGAGGAGGAGGAGCGAGACGATGAGGGAGGAGGGAGCCAGAGGGAGGAGCAACAGCGTGGATGGGGGGCGGCAGAGGAGGAGAAAGCCAAGCTAGGGGCGCCCTCGCGCCATATCACTGCCATCCGACCCGTCCCACGCAGGGGGGGAGAGGGGGAGAAGCCAAGCTGGGCGCCCTCGCGCCATAGAACTGCCATCCGACCCGTCCCACGCATCCCTCCCCACTGCACTGAACCTTTCTCTGTCCGCGGACGGATGCCATAGCGGCCCTGGAGCTCCCCAACAAAACCGATCGTGCTATGACTCGGGGAAGGGGCGCTGCTTACGCAGGAGGAAAAGGAGGAGGAGCAGGAGGAGGAGGAAATGAAGGCGGCGGATGAGCAGGACCGTTTGCAAGGCCAAGTTCAAAAGAAGAGGAGTAAGAACCCCAAAAAGCAAACACTGCCTGAGAAAGTAAGACACTGCCTAGCAACACTCCTGTGTTGAAGCAGCGGAGCGAAGAGGGTCGTACGACTCCTCTGTCATCTTCGGGGTGGAGAGAGAGAGAGAGAGAACAAACAAAAACAAAGAGAGAGAGAGAGAGAGGGAAGAGTAGTATCGAGTAACTGTGAAGAGCAAGCAAGGGCAAGGGGGAGGATAAGGAGCGAGCGGCGAGAAGAGAGGAGGAGACGAGGGATGAGCTGGCAGTGAGGAGCTGCAGGGAAGGGCCGACGGATCGACGCGGATGGGCTTCCAGTTCGGAGGCCGAGACCTTCGGGAACCCCTGGGGGCCCTCCGGAGCAGGAGGCGGGAGCGCAGGGACGAGGGAGGCAGACCCACACCTTCTCCGGCATGCCCTGCTCCGTCCGCGGCCCCAAACCTGCCGACCCCTTCTCCGGGGGAGTCTGGCGTATACGAGAACCGTATTGCATGGCTTCCGGGGCACGAGGGCGGGGCGCTAGAGTGGAAAAAGCATCACATCCTGGGAGATCTGGGGAGGAGGCTGTGGTCGGGCGTGTCCTCCTACAGGCGGGTTTCGGTCGAAGTATAAAGCGTAGTCAGAACATCAATGTATATATATAGATGTGTATATATAACTTATATATATATATACATACATACATACATACATACATACATACATGCATACATACACATATACATATACATATACATATACATATACATATACATATACATACACATACACATATACATATACATATACATATACATATACGTATACATATACATATACATACACATATACATATACATATACATACATATATGTGTACAATAATGGTCGAAACATCGCCCACTGACCATTTTTTAAACTATCGGTGGATGCTCCTCCTGTAGCGGGACATGCCATGACTTGAGACGAGGCGAGGCGTGCCCTCTGCTCCCGGCCTGGCGGGGAAGCTGAAGGCGGGGCGGTCGGCCATGGCACCCGCAGCGCGCGCGCGCCGCCGGGGCGGCGGACTCCCGGCGCCGGAGGAGGCCCGCCGTCGTCGGGGCCGGCGGCCTCCCTCGAGCTGCAGGGGCCAGGCCCGCCGGGGAGAGGGGGGGGGGGGAGCGGGAGGAGGGGGGGGGGGGGGGAGGAGGGAGGAGGAGCGGGCAGGGGGGAGGAAGCTGAAGGGAGGAGGAGGAGGAGGAGGAGGAGGAAGAAGAGGAGGAGGAGGAGGAGGACTGGGAGGAGGGGGGGATGGAGGGAGGGAAGGGGGGAGGCGGAGGAGGAGGAGAAGGAGGAGGATGAGGTTGATGATGCGACGCAAGGCTTCGCGAGATGCGTGCTCGATCGGAGGCGGAGGAAAAGGGAGGATGGGCAGTGAGAAGGCGGAGGAGGAGGAGGAGGAGAAGGAGGGGGAGGGGCAGGGATGAGGATGAGGATGAGGATGACGTTCATGATGGCGATGATGTTGATGATGATGAGGATGATGCTAATTATTGCAATTCGCACAATGGCAATAGCACTGCTGATGATGTCGATGGTGGTTGTCATGATTATGACGACGATGATGAGGCTTATGCTGTTACTGCTTATGCTTACGATGCTGATGATGATCCCGACGATGAGGAGGAGGAGGGGGAGGAGGAGAAAACGGAGGAGGAGGCGGAGGTGGAGGGATGATTAGGAAGAGAGGAGATAGGAGAAGCGCACGTGGCATAGGATTAGAAGGAAGGAGGAGGGGAGGAGGATAAGAAGCAGGAGGATAAGGGAAAAGATAAGGAGGAGCAATGGGGGGGGAAAGAGGAAGATGGATGGAGGGCACGGCAAGGAGGAACACGGACAGACACGCCACCCTCCCTTTTGTCGAATCAGCCCTGGGCGTTTGAACGGCCAGAGCCTTTCGTTTGACGGAAGGCCCTTGAAGGATGAGGGGCGCAGGAGGATGCACGGGTCGAGCTGGCCAAGGAGCACAGAGGTATGAAGATGGTGATGATGCTGTTGACGATGATGAAGATGATATGGTGATATGATGACGATCATAATGCTGATCCTGATCATGATGGTGATGATGATGATGCTGATGATGATGCTGCTGATGATGAAGATGATGATGATGATGATGATGATGATGATGATGATGATGATGATGATGATGATGATGGTGGTGGTGGTGGTGATGATGAAGATGATGATGATGATGGTGGGAATGGTGGTGATACAAATGATCAGAAGGAGGAGGTGGAGGAGGAGGCCCAGGGGGGAGGAGGACAGAGACGACCACAGCAGGAGCTGAAAAGGCGGGCGGACAGGCGGGCCAATGGAAATTGCCCCAATACCATTGGGCTCCCAGGTCAGACCACGGGCCGACTTCACGGCACAACCCAAACAGGGCGCCATGATCATCATCCTCGTTGTCTTGCCACCATCCTTCTCCACTCCCGCCTCCTTCACGTCCTCCTCCTCCCCTCCTCCTACTCCACCTCCTTTGCCTCCCCCAGAAACTATACCCATCCATTTCACCAGTATCTTTCGTCCCTCTCTCGCACTCCCCCCCTCCATCGTCCCTCTCTCTTGCCGCAACATCATTCAACGTCTTCCTCCCCCTCCCAATCCCTCCTCCGCCCTCCCTCACGCATCCACCTTTCTTATCTTCTTATGTATCATCTGTTCTCATTGCTCTAGTCTGCCATCCTCGCCCACTCCTCTCCATGCACTCCCCTCCCTTTCCCCTCTTTGGTACTATCCCTCCCGCTTCTATTCCGCTTCGCTGCCTTTCACGGCGGTCAAGGCCGTTAGCAGGGCTATCATACGACAGCGCTCCTCCTCTTTATCCTGCTCCATCCATGTCTCCTTCCTCCTTCTGTTCCACCTCATACTCATTATCTTGCTGCTGCTAGCCCTTCCCCTCGGGTTCGTCAATATTCGCATCCAGCTCATCCCCCCATACTTCCGCATCGCTCCTCGTCATCGTCGACATCATCCTCGTCCATCAACCCTTCGTGAACATCATCATCAGCAGCATCATCATCCTACTCCACAGCAAGTTCCTGATCCTGCTCTTGAGCATGATCCTGCTGCTTCTGCTGCTCCAGGTCCCCTTCGTCCTGCCACTAAAGATCGAATTTACCAATATCAGCCAGCGCGGACCCCAAACAGTGTGTTTCTGGCAATATATGTTGTGAACTCTCTACTGTGCAAACTATGAAGCGCTAGTGCAGTCTAGGTTGTCGAATTCATGCTGTGGAATCTAAGTGGAGCAACCAATATGGTGCAGTCTACACGGTGCAATCCATGTACTACAACACCTGGTGCGCAATCTGCGTGGATCAATCCAGGTGGTGCATTCTAGGTGGTGCAGTCTACCTTGCGCAATCCATTCTGCCAAATATGTTGTGGAATATATAATTTGCTACCTATTGCTTGCAAGATCTGTAATGCAACATCTGTGGTGCAGCCCTCCTTGCGGCGACGAGGCGGCGACGGGGCGGGCGGCCAGGCCCAGCCGACGGCCGGCGACGAGGCGGCGGCGGGGCGGCGACGGGGCAGCGACGGCGACCGCGGAGCTGCCAGCCCGGCGGCCAGGCCCAGACGACGCGCGGCGACGAGGCGGCCACGGGGGCGGCGACGGCGACCACAGGGCCGACGGAGTGGCAGCCAGGCCAAGGCGACGGGCGGCGACGACGGGCGGCGGCGAGGGGCGGCGGCGAGGCGGCTGCGGCGGCCACGGAGCCGCCAGACGGGCCGACCCCCAAGCGCAAGCACTGTTCAGGAAATATGTGTTTGCCAACGTGGACCCCAAACAGTATATGACCTAGCATGCTCTGCGACGTGATATATGCGGTGCAGCCTATGCAATGCAATATCTGCAAAGAATTCGATGCAATGCGACCCATGCATCGCCAATCACTGCGGGGCAATATCCGCAATGCAGTCGATGCGGTGCGTTCCTAAGCCGCACCACATTGGTTGCACCATGCTCTTCTATCAGTTTCTATGTTCTGCTATTCTAGGCCCTTCTGCGCTATGCTATGCTATGTTGATGTAGGATGCGCGAAGCAATACTAAAATACGTTATGCTGTGACATGCAACGGAAACGTGTGCTATGCTGTGATGTGCTACGCTATGCGAATGGACGGGTGCGATGGGGGCGGGTGCAAGTGGCGGCGACGGACAGCGGCGACGGGCGGCGACAAGCCAGCCGGAGCAGCACTGGGGCCCAGTGCAAGTGGCGGCGACGAACGGCGGCGACGAGTGGCGACGAACTGGCCGGACTGACACCCCGGCCAAGCTACATGAAAAGTGCAAATCATACATCCTAGTTGCAAGCTCTGTTCTGGGAGTAATTATCCCTCACCTCCGGATCCACCTCATCATCGACATCATCCTCCTCACTCTCTTCCACGATCCCTCCTGCCACTTCCCTGCTTTCCCCATCCCTTCTCGGTCCTCCCTCCTCCCTCCCAACTTCCTCCTCATCCTGATCCTGCTCCCTTTTCTTTTCCTACGCCTGCTACCTGCGCCTGCTGCTGATCCCTCTTGCCGCTCCTTCTTGGTCTCCGCGTCTGCCATGTCGTCCTCCTTTCGAATATCCTTATCCTCGTCCTCCCCATCTTTGTCTTCTTTCCAATATCCGCTACAAGCCTCGTCGGAAATGAACAGAAGACTTCTGAATTCGCTGATTGTGGGGTCAGCGCTACTACAATGCTGATGGATACCTGTTGACTCGGACGCGGTGTTGTCAAAAATCGGCCCCACCCTCTCAGCATTGAAGAACGCGCTTTATGACAAGTGCCCGAAAGCATCGTGCTCCAGGATTTCGATTTCCATCTCTGGATATTGTTTGACGAGGCTTGTAGGACCAACCTAAACTGCCCAGACTGCCAGAGAAACCTTGTCAACACCTGAAACCTCAAATCCGCCCAACCCGCACCACAGAAGAAAACCAACAGACTGATCCTCCTCCTCGTCCTGATCCTCATTCGCCTGCTGTTGCTATTGGTCTAGGGGAGCGAAGCATGACATAAACATAAAACTCCGCGCTGGACCCCCCTGGCGGCGCCTCCTGCGCCGCCCCTGGCGCGCACCGCGCGCCAGGGAGAGGGGCCCAGCGCCGATCCGAGAAATCCGCGCGGACCTCCGAGTTTGTATGTTTATGTCATTCTTCGTTCTCCTGAACAGGGCCCGTCGCCAATGGACTCGCCTCAATGCATGTCCGCGCCTCTTGGACCCTCCCGCTCCCGTTCCGCCTCCCTCCCGCCCTTCCAGCCGACCCTCCACGCCCCCCCCTCGCATGCCCGCTCCTTGAGCAGGGACCGACCGTCCCCGCATTCCTATAGTCATGCCACGGAATGTTCTTAGACCCCCAAAATGTTCTAAGAACAAAACAATGTTCTTAGAACTTGAACCCGATGTGTCAAAACAAGACAGACTCCGCCAGGCATGTTCTACGAACATTTCGTGGGAACCCCAAAAGGTTCTTAGAACATTGTTGGGTGGGGCTGTAGGCGAGCCAGGACGCTTCGCCACTGCTTGAGCTCCTGCTCCTCCTCCTCCTCCCCATCTGCCCCCCCGGAGCGGCGATCCTGCAGCCGATGCTGCCGGTGGGCCTGCAGGCGCCGCAGCGCGTCGGTCCTGCCCCTGGCCTTGACCTCCTGCCAGGACTTCTTCACCAGGGCGGCGTTGGGGCCCTCCGTGCCCCCATCCCTCCCTCGGGCGCCGGCAGGCGCATCGGGCAGGCTTGCCCGCAGGCCGCCCCTCCTCCTCCCCCTCCCCCTCCTCCTCCTCCTCCTCAGTTCCTTCCTTCGCCTCCTCCTCTTCCTCCTGCTCCTCCTGCTCCTCCTCCTCCTCCTCGTCCTCCTTCTCCTCCTCCTTCTCATCCTGATCATTCTCCTCGTCCTCGCTCTCGTCGTCGTCGTCGTCGTCGTCGTCGTCGTCCTCCTCCTCCTCCTCCTCCTCCTCCTCCTCCTCCTCTCCTACTCCCTTCCTATACTTCCTACTCCGCGTCGTCACTGGCCCTGTCCTCCTCCAAGTCCCACCATCCGTCTGGGTGTACGCGGTTTAGTGAGTTGCTCTTCCACTTCCCTTCTTCCCCTTCGGTGACACCCTCCCCCCTGCCGCCCACCAATGGGTTTGGAAGGGCCCCGTCGTGCAGTCAGAGCGGTCGATAGCCTCGAAGATGCCCTCCTAACTTTAGGTCGGGCATGTCCTCTTAAAGGGGGATTTTTTGAACAAAAATAAAACATACTCAACAAAAAACATACCATAATCAATCATAGTACAAAAAAACGTCCCCAAACTATTGTTGGACTATTTTTGGATATTCCCCCTGTAGAGGGACAGGCCCGACTTAACCCTAACGGCCTCAAGGCCCCCGAGGGGACCCGAAGAGAGCTCAACGTGCGCACGTAGCACCCCGCACTTCTAAATGCCTACTTAGCACCCTACAGTTGCGGAGGAGAGTGAGAGGGCGGCGGGGTCGTCGGCAGCCTGCGTGGCTCTGAGTAAGCCCGCCGCAGAAGCCGAGCAGGAGACGATGGGGAGAAAGAACGAGAGGAAGAGAGAGAGAGAGAGAGAGAACAAACAACAACAACAACAACAACAACAACAACAACAACAACAACAACAACAACAACAACAACAACAACAACAACAACAACAACAACAACAACAAACAACAACAACAACAACCACAACCACAACCACCACAACAACAACAACAACAACAACAACATCAACAACAACAACAACAACAACAACAACAACAACAACCACAAAAAAAAACAGATCACGCTAAACGGCACGTGACTGCGACGGCCAACGCCCGAGAACTAAGCGCCAGAGAAAGCTGCGCCAGGACGGCCCCGGGCAGGCAGCGCGAAGAGGGGTGCGGGGAGGATGGAGAGCCCGGAAAAGGGGGGAGGGCAGGAGGGCAGGAGGGGGGGGGTCCGAGTAGGGCTCCTGGCGAAACACGGTGGCTTCAGAAAAGGAGCAGGGCGGAGAGCGGAAGAGAGGAGCTTAGGCGAGATGAGCGTGGAGGAAACGGAGGAAGATACTGCCAACCCAGCGGGCGCGCACAGGTGCGGGGAACGCGCGCCACCGCTGTTCGCTCTGACCGGGGGCGCCGATAGCCCGCGGGCTGCTGTGGGCGCACCACTCCAACTTGAACTGCATCCTCGCCCGAGTACGCGCGCGGCTGCGAGTTCGGAGGCGCGGCCCGTTGGAGTTCGTCTGGCGCGGGTTTGCCGCCTGCACGGCTGCTGCTAGGAAGAATCAGCTCAGGGCTGCGGGCCCCTAGCCTATGCACTACCACCACCTGCATGTTTTTCTTTTCCTCTAGCCTCCTCTTCCTCTTCCTCTCCTCTTTCCTGGGAGAGGCAGCGGGTGAGGGAGGTGGTGGTGGTGTGCATTTCTGGGGCCTCGTAAGGGCGGAATGGGGCGCAACAAAAGCACACTATTACGATGCACCCTCCTCGGAGGCGCACGCCCAAACCAAACATGCAGCGGAGGCATGCGACAGCAGGACATTCCTCAAACTGCCATAAAGTGCCCGCGGCCGAGCCTATACTGTAAGATGTCTGGACGGGCGCGTCGCCCATGCGGGGCAGACGCGCGCAACCACTAGAAGCATGTGTAGAGAATGCCCGGCGACACCAGAAAACAACTTGCGGAAGCTTGTGGTCGCCCCCACGGCGCCCAATCGCGAGTCCAATATCGCGCAGAACGGACTTGATGCAACCCCCCTCATACGGAGCCGGTGGCTGCTACAAGGGGTGGTTTGGCCGCTACTCGGCGCGATTGAGCTCCAGTGGGCGCGGTGCGCACGCTCTTGGAAACTACTCGCCGGTACGCATTCTATGTTGGACGGGAGAAGGGCTTCCGTGGCTTACCATCTCAGGTTCAGTCGGGCGTGTCCCTCTACAGGAGCAATACTCAAGAATGGTGGAACCATCGTCGGGTAACGATGCTTAGTTGTTTTGGTAATTGTTTGATTGATTCGGGCGAAACAAATATATGTATATATATGTGTATATATAGATATGTGTATATATATGTATATATATGTGTGTGTATATATATATATATATATATATATATATATATATATATATGCTCGGATTCCTTCCAGCCTCGCAAGCTCGGCCTGTAGGAGGATATACCCGACCAACACCTCAGGAGCCTGCGGGGGGGGGGGAGGGCGGAGCCTCGAGGGTCGCCGCGCCGCCCGGCGCGGCCCGCGCGGGAGCGCTCGGCCCGCGGATGCGCACCACCTGCCCCGCGGCGTTCTCTCGTGTGCTACCTCCGCCAAGCCCGGCGGGACGGCGATGGCACAGAGCGGGCCAGACCACCCCGACCCAACCCCGAGACCCGAGTTTAGGTTTAGGGCGGGGGGGGGGGGTGCGCGTTCCAACTGTGGTTTCCCCATGCTCCCCGACCCCTCCTCCCTGGAGATGGAGGGCTCATTGAGGCCTTCGGGTTGGGTCGAGGTGCTTTGGCGGGTGGTGCGCCGGAGGGGACGGAAAAACCGGCGCCCACCGCAGCTGGCGCCGCGCAGGCACTCGACCGCCCGCGCAGCGCCGCCGCCCGCCGCCCGCCCGCCCGCCCCCCCTCGGCCCCGTCGACACCTCTGCCCCGCTCCTGGCGCCCGCTCGCTTCAACTCGCGGCCTGTCGGTAGGAGTCGTAGGCTGCGGGCAGCCCATGGACGTGCGTGGCAGCATGCAGATCGGCGCGTCTGCGTGCCCGCTGAAAAATGCTGAATCAAATATCACACGCGAGTTGCTTCGAAAGGAAGTGGCAACTCGATCTAAGACAACTCTACGGCTGAATGGCTTGGACTCAATCACTTGCTGTACACTAGCTGCTTCCACGTGTGCGCCTCCGCAACTTGCTCGCGGAATCGCACATATGATCCAGCCAGCTGGATAGCCTGTGGCATGACTGTGCGTATCCACTCCTTGTTCGGCCGGCCACGCCGTCGCTCATAGCGGTCGGTGGCTGGCACGGTTGTCCCGGGGGTGAAGGACGCCCGTCTCAGTGCCGACTCCGGCGGAGAGCGCATGATCTTGCCCATGTACACGAGCTGCCGTCTGTAGAGCTGGTCTGAAGCGGACTGCACGCCGGCCCTTTGCAGGACCTCTGCGTTCGAGATCCGCGAGATATAGGATGGTGGGATGCCCATGATCACTCTCAGACACTTGGCTTGGAAGCCGTCAAGCCGCCGCAAATCAGCTTTCAGACAACATCCGGCGGACAATCCGTACAGTAGTTTTGATTCAATGAGTGCGGTGAAGACATGCAGCCTCCATCTTCGAGATAAAACGGAATGCCGCCACACTTGCCTCACCGCCCGGAACTCCGCGCTCGCCAAACCGATCCTTCGGCTGAGTTCGGTCGCCATCTTTCCGCCAGAAGTCAGAGTCGACCCCAAGTACACGAGCGATTCCTCGCACTGCACGCAGCGGTCCCCGATCTGTACTTCAGCTTGGCGACCTGTCTGTAGCAGCTGGAACTTTTTGATGTGGAGCTCGAGACCGTAGGCCTGACCGGCCTTGGAGATGGCTTGGACAAACTCTTGGACGTGCGCGGTCGCTGTCCCCACTACCAGCGTGTCGTCGGCGTAGGCGATGTCTGCCAGGTTCCCAGATATGTACGCCGCAGACGCGCCAGGGGAGAGCATGGCCACCGCGTCCTCCATCATGCAAGACATCACAGTGATGAACAGCAGCGGACTCAGCGTGCATCCTTGCGAGACGCCAGACCGCTGCGGCCGTCTCTCTGACGTGAACCCCATGTCTTCGACATAGAACTGTCTGCCGTTCATGATATTTCGCAGCAGCCTGATGTACTTGCCAGTGATGCCCTTCCTCTGCAAAGCTGACAGCATGCTATCGACGTTGACGCTATCGAACGCCTTACGCCAATCGAGTGCCAGCAGCGAGACAGAGCCGCCTTTCTGCGCCCGTGCAAGTTCTATGCGTCTCCGGGCAATGAATATGGCGTCTTCCGTGCACCGTTTCGCCCGGAAGCCGAACTGCGTCGGCCATATTTTATCGTCGATCCCTGCGTCAAGAAAACGTTGTTTGAGCATGCTGGCAAAGACGCGATATGCCACGCAAGACAAGCAGATTGGCCTGTAGTTGTCCAAACATCCTGGGTCATTCTTCTTGAACACCATGGCTACTTTGGCGATCATCCATTCCTGGGGCACCTGCTCGAGAAGGAGACACATGTTCATGACGTCAAGCAAGGGCTGAAGATTCTCCCCGGTGGACGCCGCCAGGACCTTGAGGAGTTCGATCGGGACGTCGTCAGGCTTCGCACTTTTTCCACTGGCCATTCTGTTGATCGCTTTGCGGAGTTCTGTAAATGAAAAGTTCTCTTCGCGAGTATCCAATGGGCTGCAGGTCGCTTCTGGCGCGTCGTCCAACACGGACACCGGGCGCACGTGCCACTGCGCGGTCTCCAGATATTTTGCAAAAGTTGCCGCCCTGTCCTCGGTCCCGACCGGCGCCTCGTTCTCCGGCTGCAGCCTCGTCTGCGCGACTTTCCGGCCGCGGCGGAGCCGTGTGAGAGGCGCCCAAGTGCCCTGCGAAGCCATGTCCCGGAGCCAGCGCGCCCGGTCCTGGCGAGCGGATTTATTAATCTCCTTGGCTGCCCTCTTTTCGGTCTCAGCGTCTGCCAGCTGTCTGCGCCGGGTCCGGTGTTCGATGAGCCTCAGGGTTGTGTCGCTGATCCAGGGTCTACGCTTGCTGCGCGAGATCTCTGGGATTATCTCGCTAGCCGCTGACGCCAAATTGGATCTCAATCTCTCCCACGACGCGTTCAAACATGGCCGTTCTTCTGCTGTCTCGTCGCGTCGAAGAGATGAAACGCAATGTAGAAATGCGCCCCTCACCCGTGTCTCAGACAGCGCAGAAAAATCGTACTTCGGCCGGCTCGTTGGCGTGTTCCGTCGCGCCTGCTCCACGCACAGGCGGGCAGTCACTGGGAAGTGATGGGTTGACATCGCAGCCAAAGGGTCGCTATGTAAATACCGAACTTTCCAAATGGAGTCGACCGGAACGAGGACGAGATCCAACATGGCGAACGTAGTCTCGGTGATCGGGGACGCCGGCGTGGAGCCAATCTCGTAATAGGTCACCTGCTGGCTGGGCTCGTTCGGCACGAAAGTGCTCGCGATTGCGCATCGCCGGCTGACACACAACTCCATCAGCAGGTCTCCGTTGGGTACTTCCGCTGATTGTTGCGCCTCCCGGCCGAAAGTAAAATCGCCAATCTGGTCTTCCTCGCCCGGCCGTCGACGACCCAATCGAGCGTTCATGTCTCCAATGATGTACTGCTCTCCGCTGACCTTACTTTTGTCCAGGTGCGCCTCCAGCGTGTCGTAAAACGCCAAGCGCTCGTCGAGCGGGCGGCGGTTGTGCGGAGCATATGTCCCAGTGATCGCAATACTTCCTCCGAGTGTCTTCACGCGAATGCTTCCCACCCTGTTTGAGGTTGGAGTGAAGCCCAGAACTCTGCGGTGAAACCGTCCTGATACGATAAAACCCACGCCAGCCCACTCTTTCTCTCCGGTGCTGGAGCCCGAAAGATAGATATGATGTCCAGACTCCCACTGAAAATAATCAGACTTTAGCCGTCGAGTCTCTTGGAGAATTGCTACGTCAAGTGAGTTCGAATTCATGTACGAGCAAATCTGTTCGATTTTGATATCTGTCAGACCTTCCACGTTCCATGTGCATATGTTTATGCACTCGCCGTTGCTAGAGAATTGCATCGAATTTGCTTTGTCCATGGGCTGCCGTACGTCCTACTGGCCCTTGCCCTTTTCTCCCTTACCGGGCATGTTCTTCACCCGGTCGAGCTTCTCCTGCGTCGTGGTCTTGAGGCGGGCAAGCTCCGGGGAAGACTGAAGCTCTTCCCAGCGCTGCCAGTCCCCGTTGCACCATTGTAGCGTCAAGGTGTGGTCGACCACCTCTGCCTTCACGACGCCCGTCCCTGCCACCCGCAGTGTCCGGCTGGTCGTGTCCACCTCCACCTCCCTCCGGCCGTACCCCCAATCCATCAAGATGCGTTTGAAGGCGAACAAGGCGGACTCAGCGGTGCGGATGTTGAGCGGCTGATCCATTTTAGCCCATGGTTTTCCTGACGACCCCGCCGGAGCTTGGCGGATAGCTATGATGATGGCGTCTCTCTGCATCGCCGTGAGGCTCTTCACGAAGAGGACGCCGTTGAATTGCTCTGCCTTGCAAAAGGCATCCGAAGGCGGAGAAACTCCCACTGCTTGGCAGCGGGCTTTGACCCACTCGATGGCCTTCTCGATGCCGTCCGCGTTCGGGATGTTGCCAATGACGGTGGTGAGGCTCTCAGGCATGAGGTTGTTTTGCTGGACGTGTTGCTGGGCCTGCACGGTCGCGTTGGTCTGCATGGCCTTCATCGTCTCCTGAAGCTTGTCAACTTCACGCTGCAAATCTTCATGTTTCGACTCCATGCCGGTAATGCGGAGTCCCATCGACCCCAATTCCTCGTTCATCTTCATCTGCAGCACCGCCAGATCCGCGGAGAGCTTCGCGACTGAGCGGGTGATGGGGCCGATCTCTTCCTTCAGGAGTTTCCTGATGCCGCCGAGCGTGACCGGCTCGCCCTCCGCAGTCGCGTCGAGGTCTTCCACGTCGCTGTCCGCGCATGCCTTCTTAGGCATGGGCGAGTGCAAAGGAGAAGACATCAGAATGCGTACTGTGGGATTGTTGGTAGAAGGCAGGTGTACAGTATCAGTGAACTCGCGGCCTGTGGCGTCCCGCAACGGCAAGGAGCCTCGGCCCTCGGTGTCCAGGAATCTCGCCAAAACCCCAGTCAGCTCCGCGCCCGCCTGCTGCCCCTCGCGGAGCGCACCCCGCTCCCTGCCCCCGCCGAAGCGCGCGACCGGCCCCGCTCCCTGCCCCGAGCCCCGCCCCTCGGCGAGGCCGCGGCCGGCTCGCTGCTCGCGACGGCGAGAGCGCAAGGCTCCCCCGCGCGGGGCCGGGCCTGCCAAAGGGCCCCCCGCGCGGGGCCGGCCGCGGGGGAGCTCGGAGCACGACCTCCGTCGGGCGGCCCTCCCGGGAGCCCCCCCCGCGGCTGCCGGCTGCTCCACGAAGGAGGGGGAGGAGGAGGGGCAGGAGCATGTACAGGAAGGAGGAGGAGGAGGAGGAGGAGGAGGAGGAGGAGGAGGAGGAGGAGGAGGAGGAGGAAGGCGGAGGAAGGAGGAGCCAGACAAGCACAGAAGAAACGGTGACCCTCGAACTTCGAATACCGGAACGGCACCCTCTCTTCGCCCGCCCGCCCGCCCCCACCCCCCCCGGGCGAAGGAGTACTCCGGATCCCTTAATAATCGTCCCCCGGGTCCGGTTTATTAAGGCGCCTTTTGGGGAAGCAGGGGGGTCCGGTTTATTAAGGCCTTTCTTGAAGCCGACGTTCAGGGGGGGTCCGGTTTATTAGGGCACCTTTTGGGTACTAGCCCGCGGAGTACTAACCATCATCATCATCATCATCATCATCAGCATCATCATCATCATCGTCGTCATCGTCATCGTCATCGTCATCATCATGTTCATCATCACCAACATCATCATCAGCATCATCATCATCAGCATCATCATCAACAACAACATTTTCACCATCATCGTCATCATCATCATCGTCGTCGTCGTAGTCGTAGTTCTCGTATCGTCGTCGTCGTCGTCGTCGTGGTCGTCGTCGTCGTCGTCGTCGTCGTCGTCGTCGTCGTCGCGCTCGCAATTTTGCTGGGGGGGTCTGGAATATTAAGGCGCCCTCTGCGGGAGGGGGTCCAGAAAATTATGTCGCGAAGGAAGGGGGGGTCTGGTTTTTCAGGGGGGGTCGATTATTAAGGGATCCAGAGTAGGACGAGGAGGAGGAACGAGGAGGACGAAGGAGGAGAAGGGAGGAGGAAGCGGAGGAGGACGAGGGAGGAGGAGGGAGGAGGGAGCGGAGAAGGAGGGAGGAGGAGGAGGAGGAGGAGGAGGAGGAGGAGGAGGAGGAGGAGGAGGAGGAAGGAGAGGAGGAGGAGGGAGGAAGGGGAAGATGCGCCCCCTCCCTGGTTCCACGAGGAAGGTGCGCGGCGTGGGTGGCACCGCTGGCCTCGGGTTCGGCGGCGGCTCCAGGAGGGAGCCGACGACGACGACGACGATGACGACGACGACGACGACGACGACGACGGCGGACGACGATGGCTCCCCTCCTCCGTCCTGCCGGGCCGAAGCAGAGGGGGGGTGGCCAGTTTGGGATCCGGGCACGTTGCCAGTCGGCTTCGGGGTGGCCCAGTGCCGGCGCGTGCTGCCCTCCGCCGTCTCCGCCCTCTGTCCTCCCTTTTTGGTTTGCTGCTGGGTGCGATGCTGGTTTGCTGGGGGTCATGATCCTCCTCCTCCTCCTCCTCCTCCTCCTCCTCCTCCTCCTCTTCCTGGTCCTCCTCCTCCTCCTCCTCCTCCTCCTCCTCTGCCTTGTCCTCCTCCTTCTCCTCCGCGCGTCCCCCTCTGCGCGAGCCCCTGCAGTGCGACGTCGCGGTCCGACGCCGTGCCTTCCTTGCTCCTCGGCTCGCGGGCCCTGGACGTCTGGCCCCCACGCAGCAGGGACAAGCTTCTCGCCGCGAGTCGTCTTGTTGGCTGTAAGTGCTCGTGCTCCTGTTAACATTTCGTGGGCGAAAAAAAAGGCTCCAAAATGGGTTCCAAAAAGGGTTCCAAAAAGGGTTCCAAAAGGGTTCGTGCTCGTGGGCTGTGCCCCCTGGGAGCTCCAAAAAGGGCTCCCCCGAAGCCAGATCCAAGGAAACGACGGCCGTCGTGCGCGTGCTCCTGCTCACACTTCGTGGGCGAAGAACGTCGAAACCTCGGCTGTCCAAATAGTTTTGTTGGCTGTACGCCCTGGAGCTCCAAAAAGGGCTCCCCCGAAGCCAGATCCAAGGAAACGACGGCCGTCGTGCGCGTGCTCCTGTTCACACTTCGTGGGCGAAAAGAACGTCGAAATCTCGGCTGCCCAAATAGCAGGCATATTCGACAAGAAATCCTGCCATAAGAAAATCATGGGGCCTCTTTCGTCGATGGCTGAAGGCACCCACGTGTTCCCAGAGCCTCTGTTGGTCCCTATACGGCCGTCGGGAGTGAACACGCTTCCGTGCGGCACCTGCTGGCAGACGAGTCTACTGCGTGAGGCTCCCACTGCGACTTCAAGAGACCCACCGCCCCCACTGAAGGGGCCCTGGGACACACAAATAAATAGACACAAATAACAGGATTCCCCATACTTTCCCACATGTTCTGGGTTGTTGTCTTCCCACCCACTTCCCATATTTTCCCATATCTTCTGGGGAATCGACGAGTCATTGTGTCTCTGTGTTCTTTTTCCCCCTCCTGACCCACGCCCTGCCCCCCTCGCGAGCGACGCTGGGCGCATCGGCGCACGGCGCGGAGGCTCGCTGGGGCAGCGGCAGCGCGAGCTGGCGGCTCTGGGCCGACCTCGCCGAGGAGGGCGTCTGCGCCGGCTCCTCGGCGCGCGCGGAACCGGCGGGCACTGGCAGAGGAGGCAGGGACAGGCATGGCGGCCCCAGTCCCCGACGCTACAGTCGGGGCGTTGACCTAAGGAACCCTAAATAAGGAACGAGGCCCCTTTTTCCCATCAGCTAAAATTCGATTTCCCAGAGAACACCTCAGGAAAATCTGAGGCAAGCTGTGAAACAATCAAGGACATCAAGGAACACCGAGCCCCTCGCCAACGAGAAGGGTTCCTTCTTCAGGGCCCCGACTGTACTGGAACTCTCGACTGGGCAGGGCATCCGGGGCTGGACCCGGGCATACGCGACGGAGGAGCGTCCGTCCTCGACACGGGGGGTGCCCGAATAACGCCCCACGGGTGCACCTCTCCGATGCTTGCCCTTTTGGGAAACATGATTTTTGGAAGGCGGAGACTCGTGGCTTGGGGTCGAGAAGTTGCCCGCGAGGGCAGCGCGCCCGACTGCCTAGATCTGCAGGGACAAGAAACTGCCCAGGCCTCTCGGAGGGCGCGCTCGGACCAGGATTCCGGAGCGAATGCAGCCGGGGGCGACCAGGGAAGGGCAGTGGTATCGGTATCTCGCCTCCTCCGCCTCCTCCGCCTCCTGCACAGGGTGGGCACCCCATCGTGGGCCCGGGCCGCAGAGGCGCGTGTCACCCCTCGCGCGCCCTTCAGGCGGCCTGGGATGCGCCCCTCGCTGCCTGGTGTCTCGCAGATCGGGCACGGGGGAGCGAGGCGAGCGCAGCAAGCGCGAGTGACCCCTGGATCTCATTCGCACACACACACATATACGTACGCACGCACGCACGCACTCACAAACGCACACGCACGCACGCACCTCACGCACGCACTCACAAACGCACGCACGCACGCACGCACGCACGCACGCACGCACGCAAACACACACACACACACACAAGAAAAACAAAACGACACAAACCGACACACACCTACGCACACGCACACGCACACGCACACGCACACGCACACGCACACGCACACGCACACGCACACGCACACGCACATGCACACGCACACGCACAGGCACGCACACACACACACACAGACACACACACACACGCTCACACAGCCACACTCACCCTCACACTTGCACGCTCACGCGCGCACACACACACACATACACATACACACACACGCACACGCATACACACACACAACAAAACACAACAACACAGCAGCAAGATGGTACCGTCAGGTGGAAGTCTACTTCAGGGGGCGCTGGCGCAAACTCAAGGCCAGGCCCGGAAGCGGAGGTTATGGACTCCGGAATGGGGGAGGAGGTGAAGGAGGAAAGACGAAGGACAACGTAGAAAGGGGGCGCCATCCTCTCCTCCTTCGGCTCCTCCTCCTCCCACTCCTGCTCCTCCTCCTCCTCCTCCTTCTCCTCTTTTTCCTCCTTCTCCTCATCCTCCCTCTTCATGAACCACGTAGAGGGATGGTTTGGGAAGACAACGTAAAAAAGGGGGCGCAATCATCCCAAACCCACACCGCCAGGTGCAACGGTACTGCGACTGCGTACTGCGACCTGCCTGGAACGCCGCGAGGGCGCTGCAAGGTGGGGCCGAAATACCCAGAAAGCGACTATACAACACTACCGGAACGCGCTTGGGCAATATAGTAATCTACAACATCGCCCTCTAGATCGGCCCACGTGCTACTGCCAGCGAGTTTCATTAAGAACAAGGGCGGCGTCTTGAACGCAGCGGGCCTCAGTCAGTCCTGTCGTTGCTTCGCTTTGGAACCTGTAAGCAAAAAGTAGACACTGAAACGCATGATGCCATCCAACCATATTCGCTTTGTCTGCTTTGGTGTTTGTGGGAAATCAGTTGAGGATGTTCTGACGGGTTTCGCGTCAGTACCTTGTGCAGCCAGTCGCAAGAAGACGATTGTGCCACATGCTGGAACCATTTCCATTTCCGGTGCCGTTGTTGTTGGATCCAATCCTCTATCCCAAGACTGCCCATATGGTTTTCTGTTTCGTGTGTGCTCCGTTTTACCCAATCCACCTAATATACCAAATTGGTTGTGTCATCCGCTGCTTCAGCCTCAGGTCGTTGATGCTGCGCGTCGTCTTCTGCAACAGCACTGGCCACGTCCGACCCGCTGTCTGCGCTGCGCACGCTGTCTGCACAATCCTCCGGTCCAGATGGGTCTGCTTCCCGTCCCAGAACGCGCCGAGGTAAGTGGATAATCCTTCGTAGCATGTATTGCGTTCGTTTCACTCGGTTCTGCAATTCCTGTGTCAATGCTCACGCTTCACAACTATACAGGATTGCTGGCGCTACGACTCCACTAAACAAGCGTAGCTGGTCATGTAGCATAATATAGTTTCCCCATGCGTTCTTGTCTCAAAACATGGGATTTTCGCCACTCACAGGCAATATGGTTTTCAATATCGACCTCGTTCGGCTCGTAAAACGACAACACGAAACCCGAATATTTGGCGGCGTGCGCCTGTACGTCGAGAACCTCAATCACCTTTCCGTTGATGGAAACTGTTTTTGGTACCCGTGTCCTCTGGTAGATCCAAGAAACATTGTGTAGGATATTCGTCTTGTCGGGGTGCAGCTGAAGTCCCACGGCGCGGCCTCGGTGCTGAGATTTGCAATCATCCTTGACACCTGATGTAATAAAGAGGCGACAAACATAATATCGCAAGCAGCACAAAAAAAAAAAACGACAACATCTTGTCCGCCACGTGCATTCCCAATTCCAATCCTTGCCTTCCGCCACTGTGCCCGCAGATTACGGATCACGTACTGTGACACGCTCTTGTGAAGTAGGGAGCTGAGCGGATCTCCTTGCCTTGTGCCACGATGTATATACAGAAAGACATGTTTCAGGTGCGAGGGCCCCACAACAAAATAACAACCGAGGGAAAAGTCTAGGGCGGGAGGGGGCGCCCTGGACTTTGGCTCAGGGGGTGGGCCAGCAGGCGTAAGGAAAAGTCTAGGGCAGGAGGGGTGCGCCCTGGACTTTTGGTCCATCGGGCCTCTTGGGAAACGTCTAGGGCGGGCGGGGGGCGCCCTAGACTTTTGGCCCAGGTCGGGAGCCCTAGACTTTTGGGCCCGGCTCCCCGAACTTTGGCCCTGTAGGCGCTGGGAAAAGTCCAGGGCGGGAGTGGGGCGCCCTAGACTGTTGGCCCACGCGCCCTAAACTTGGACAGAGCACTAAGGCTGGAGGGGATCGCCGTAGACTGCAGGCCCAGGCGCCTAGTCTTTGGTCCAGCAGGCGCTGGCAAAGTCTAGGGCGGGAGGGGGGCGCCATAGACTTTTGGCCCAGGCGCCTTACATTTGGCCCAACAGGCGTTTGGAAAACTCTAGGGCTAGACTGTTGGCCCAGGCGCTCTAGACTTGGGCAAGGCAGGCGTTGGGAAACGTCGAAGGCGGGATGGGGGCGCCGTAGACTTTTGGCTGAGGCGCCTGGACTTTGGCCCAGCAGGCGTTGGAAATAATTTGAGAGAGCGCGTTTCACGGGCGCTTGCCTGGCGCGTTTCGAAACGGAGGGGGCGCCGGCGATCAAAACCAACGGGGCTCCTCTCCCCCCCACCCCCCCCCTTTCCGAACCCCCCCTCCCTCCCCCAACAAGGAGGGGGGAGGGTCAAAACCCCCCCCTCTCGGCGCCGGCGCTGGCGCCGGCGCTGGCGGCCGCCAGCGCAACCGACGGCAGGGACGCAGCGACGATGACCAGAGGCAGCCCAATGGGGGGGGTTCAATCTCCCACCCCCCCTAGCGACGGCGGGGACGCAGCGACGATTACCGCACCTACCACCACCACCACTACCACCACCACCACCACCGCCTCAACCACCACCACCACCACTCACCATCACCATCACCACAACAAACCACCACCACTACAACCGCCAACATAAATCTACAACACCGACACCACCACCACCGCCACAACCACCATCGCTAGCAGCAGCACGACCCACCACCACCACCACAAACCACCACACCACCACCACCACCGCCACCACCACCACCGCCAGCACCACCTCCACAAACATCGACACCACCACAACCCACCACCACCACCACCATCACCACCACAAACCACCACCACACCACCACCAAACCACCACCACCACCGCCACAACCCTCCACTACCACCACCACCGCCACCACAAACCACCACCACACCACCACCAAACCACCACCACCACCACAACCACCGCCACCACAACGAACCACAACCACCACCACCACCACTACAACCACCACAACCGCGACCACCACCACCACAACCCACCATCACCACCACCACCACCACCACCACCACAAACCACCACAAACCACCACCACCACCACCGTCCTTGTCGACGCTCCCCGCCGCCGCCGCCCGCCGCCGCCGCACGCCGCCGTAGGCGCCGGCGCCGGCCCAGAAAAAGAAATCGTCGTCCCCGCCGCCGCCGCCAGCCGCCGCCGACGCAGGCGCCGGCCCGAGGAGAGGGCGAGAGGAGAAGTAGGGGAGGAAAGGGGGGGTCCAACCCCCCCCCCACTGGGGCCACAGGAACTCCAAATGACTGTGCCCTTGCTTCGACAGCCGAAGTCGGCATCAGCTCCAGGCGGCCAAGGCGCCCCAAGACGACGTGCACAGGGATCAAATCCACCCCCGAAACCTATGTGCCTGGGGGTGGGTGTCACATCTCGGGCCCAGATTTATGTCGGGCTTGTCCCCCTACAAGGGGATTTTCGACGAACCAAAAAAAATACCCCAAGAATAATAAAACAATAATCCAAAAATAGTCCGGGGACTATCTGTTGAGCATTTCTTGATCATTTTGGAATATTGTTTAGGTATCTTTTCTTTTTCGTCGAAAATCCCCCTGTAGGGGGACAGGCCCGACTTAAGCCCAGATCCGGGGCCGCACGGCCCGCCGCTGCCGAGGCTTTGCGCGTGGCCCGTGGGTGCCCGCGCGCGGCTCTCCCCCGCCGAGCGCTGGCGCCGCCGTGCCGGCCGGCCGCTCCGCACGCCTGCAGGTGCGACCGCTCCGAGCCACGCCTGCGGGCCTTCGGCCGGGCAGGTCCTTGACTACCTACCAGACCACCCCAACCCAACCCGAAGACCCCAATTTCGGGTTGGGGGGGAGGTACGGGTTCCATATGTGTTTTTTTCAAATGCTCCCCTACCCCCCCCCACTGGAAATGGAGGGCAAATTGAAGCCTTCGGGTTGGGTTGGGGTGGTTTGGTGGGTGGTGAGTCCTCCAGTACATGGACATTATATTCGAACCCTGTGGCCCAAGATGCCCCCCAGACCCCCCGAAGTTAATGTTGATGGCGTGGCGACGGAGGGGGCGTGAGCGGACATAAAGATTCGAACCCCAAAGCACCGCCTTTACTGAGATCAACATTGATGTCGGGGGCGCGGGGGTGACTTAGAATCTCCCTCGAATGTGTAATGGGTTCGAATCTATTGTCCATGCACGGTCCTACAGGGGGCTTCTGGAGGAAAGAGCAGACATAGTCCACCCGATACCCCAACTACAAAAAGTCAGGGAGAGATGATCCAGGCATCGTCCCCTATACAGTTCTAGTTCAGGTTTTTGTTTTCCCTCCTGCAGAGGGACGCTGCCCGACTGCATGCTTGCCCCGAGCGAGCCACGGCGCGCCTTGGGCGCGCGCTCCCCGAAGAACGCCACCGCGCACGCGAAGCAATCCTGGGCGGCCGGCCGGGCCGGGCGGCCGGGCGCCCGGGTGTGCCGCGCCGGCGGCGCCGCAGAGCGGCGTCGGAGGGGCGCGGCAGCGGCATGCACACGGGTCCGCTGCCCCAGGGCCTGGCCCACCATGGGACGCACAAAGACACACTATAGTACTACATGTTCTCCTTGGAGGCGCGCGTCCGACCCGAACATATACTCCGCATCCCTGATTCAGCGGCCCCCGGGGCCGGTATGTTAAGTCGCCATTTTTCCAACGGGGGGGGCCGGAATATTAAGGCGGTTCCGCGCGACCGAAGCGAAGGGGGGCCCGATGAATTATAGCGTTTTTTGAACGGCCTTTTTGGGCAGGAGGTTTGAAACTGACCTTCAGGATGGCCCCTAATATATTGAACAGATGCTGCAAGACCGCACTCGACCGCATTCGATGCCTCAAGGATGTTTCATGAAAATATGTTTGACCATATGTTTTCAGACTGAAACTTATGTTCCATACACACATATCGATGTATATGCGTGTGTCGTATATATGTGTAGATATGGTTCCTGCACCACAGCATAACATGCACGATCATGGTGTTCATCGTATTGATCATAATTGCTGTCGACGTCGCGAACCGACAGCGTTCTGATCACCAATGCAATCACCACTGTGTAATTCACCACAGCCCCATCATGTCCACCAACATACCTACAACGCTCAACTTTCCCAAGGGGTGGGGGGGCCGGAATATCAAGGCGCCTCCCATGGAAGGGGGGGGGCCCAGAGTATTAGTGTGCCGAAGCAGGGGTGGCCAGTATTTTAGGGGGGCCGTTTAGTAAGGGATGCGGAGTCGTATGCCCATCTTGTGGTATTTCCCGAGCGGTGTGGCCAGAGAGCGCCCACCACGCCGCCGCATATACTATAAGATCTCTCGGTGCGCGCGTCGCCCCTGTGGGGGGGGCGACGCACACATAGTAGAAGTATGTTGGGGTGACGCCGACTGCAGAGCGGCGTCGGAGGGTGCGGCAGCGGGATGTGCACGGGTCAGATGAAAAAAGCCTGGCCCACCATCCCAGGCCCAAGGGGTGGTGCACAACGCCTCCCTGACCACGCCGGGGGGGGGGGGGGCGTCTGCACCGCTCCCGGGCCCAGCACGGGCCAGGCCTGGGGCAGCGGGTGCGCAGCATGTATATATATATATATATATACTGATATATACTGATATATATATATATACTGATATAGATAGAGCCCGTTGCCCAGGGAGAGGAAGCTGAGGGGGCACATTGTGCAGCGGTCGGCGTGCGGCGAGGCTCGGGGTGGCTGCTCACCGGACGGCCCCCTTGGGGGGCAGAGCAGGCTGGCCCCAGCGGGCCCCCAGAAGAAGCTGGTGGTTTTGTTCAGACTCCGGCAAGTTCATTTGCATGGTGGACAGCGGGGGGGGGGCCTGGCGAGGCCCGAGAGGAAATCTGCGCTTCACGCAAGTCGTGACCCACTCGGATCCCCTGTCGGCTCAGCGCTGCGTGGAAAGGATGCGAGAGGGGGGGAGCGAAGTGCCATGCAAATATACTCGCCAGAATCACTCTAAGGTGCCCTCCAGGGCGCGAGGCGCCCCCAGAAGGTGCGCCGCTAGTGGCGGCGCAGGGATGTCGAGACCACCCTGTGCTCACTCGGGGGGACCTGTTGAGGGAGTCTGGGGCGAGCTCCAGTCGGCTACCCTGGGCAAGACATGAATGGCCTTTGGTGCGCGGCTTTGGGGGCCGCTGGGGCGGGTTTGACTCCAAGGGTGCAGGCCATTGCAGCGGGGGACCACTGTGGGCCCCCCGTGCCAAAGGTCACTCCGGCGACGGGTCACTCTGGCGCGTAGTCATGTGCGCCGCCCGACCCCCGAGGGCAGTCTGGTGCTTGCAGCATCGGCCGTATACAGGCAGCCGAGGGCGCCCACGACTGGCTAGAGATCGGTCGGTCGATGCAGGCCGAATCGATGACATACAACGACCAGCTGCGGAGGGCAGTTCAAGCAGAGCGCGACCATGTGCATCTGACCATTCGGATTCGATCGGCCGAATCGTGTCGCTGGCAACCCTGGCACGGGAATCAAGTCGCGCTGCCCAGTGCGGCCTTGGCGTATCACTCCTACCACGGATGGCAGCGCTTTGGCTAGATAACTCTGCGATCTCACCAACAGGAGGGGCGGAATTTATGTTAAATGTATGTTGCGTGATCGTGGTTTTAAGACACGCTCCGCCAGGTGACTGCCGAAATGTCGATAAATTTCCCTATTTCCGCCTGTTAGTGCCTTCTGGCGCCTACTGGTGACTACGAACACCTGTTCGCGCCGATTGACGACCACTAATAAGCAATCGTAGACGCTACCAGCCGGGGATGACTGCAACTCATGCTTTAGATGACTATGATGCGTAACAATCCTAAATTTATACCAAAGAAAACCGGTCCAGGTGCTCGCGCTGAGAGTTCAGAGCCGGAGCGCCAGTGGTGGGAGAAAGCAAAGGATGACGCATGTGGACGCGTATGCTCCCTACACTCTCTGCCGTCTCCACTCTGTACCGAATGCGGCCTGCTCTCTACATGTCATCGCCTCCGCCACCGTGCGTCGGGGCATGGAATGGGGTGTCCGAAGTTCCCTTCAAATTCCCTGTATTCGGCACTGTACACGATGTCATCATCACTATCTTCCTCATCCTCCTCCTCATCATCGTCGTCATGGTCATCGCCATCGTCGTCATCAACATCTGCATCATCGTCACCATCACCATCCGCGTCATCAGCATCATCATCGTCACGGCCGTCACCGTCGCCAACAACATGGCCACCATCGCCATCATCGTCATCACAATCATCATCACAATTGTCATCGTCATCATCATGATCATCATCATCATCATCATCATCATCATCATCATCATCATCATCATCATCATCACAATCGTAGGCATCGTCATCGTCACCGCCATCGCGGTCACCAGCATCAGCATTAGCTGCATCAACACCATCGCCATCATCACCATCACCAACAACAGCATCATCACGGGGTGGGATTCTGGGGGCGTCAACCGCACAGCAAGAAAACCAACGAAACACGGGCCCATATCCGCGCAGTGCTTGAGCTCGGAGCGGCTTTGCCCAGAGGCTCTACAAGAGGGGGCGTGTGGCCCCGAACGCTGGGGACGGTGGCCCACGGGCGATTCGTGGCGCCTCGTTGGCGGGGGCCTGGGGGCCACGACGCGCCACCGATTCGAGCAGGTCTTACTTCGACTGACCGGCATTCGACCGTGGAGGAGGGGATCGGGTGCCGGGGGGAAACGGGCGAAAGAGGTATGGTTTCCACAGCTCCTGGCAGGCTCCGGGCTGCGACTTTCGGATTCTGGCGAGGATGTGTTCTCAGCCTCTCTTCGCGTCGCTCCCACCTATCGGTACAAGCCGTCGCGATGCACGAACGGATTCTCCCTTGAAGTTCGGGGCGTCGTAACTAAGAAAGCCCATGGAATCATACCGGACAGCAATTGGAAATTAGCACTGCGACCCATGGGGGCGGTCAGGCCCCCCCACCGCTTCAGTACTCACTTCTTTTAGGCACTCATCCATTCAGCTCGTCTGTTACACGGCATACGAACAGTGCCACGTCGCAAGCCAATTGTCGTCCCTTGCGACGTACGTGTACAGAAGCTGTTGACTGCGCCGCCGTCCTCGATGCAGCATCCAGGGAGACTGTGCCCTCCTCCACAAGAGTCAAGAGAGCGCTCGCTGTGTACGAATCACCAGGCGTCTGTGTGCAGTAGACCGCACGATTTACTGTTATTCTCGTATTCGTCCAGGGGCTGCTGAGCTGCTCGCCCCAGTGGGCCCCAATGAGCGGGGACCATCTTCACAACTCGAGTTACATGCTTGAGTACTCCGGTGATCATCTTCTCCATGGGTTCCTGGTCGTGGCCGAAAGCGAACACGATCTTGGTGATCTCGGCTTGGCCCTCCTCCTTCTTCGCGGGCGGCGAATGACAATGCAAGATCAACTCTTGAAGCTGCTGCGCCGTCTTGCCCTCCACATGATGGTTTCAAAACTCGTGTAGTCGTTGCTGCGCTTGCTGACTGAGCTCTGGCCTCGCGATGGCCTGCGACATGACTGTCAACACGTGGACGCAAGTCACTTTGAGCACGTCTAACTCCGCCTGTTCGCCCTGAAGCCGCTGCACTTCCTTGTGGTCGGCCACTCCTGCCGCCTTCATTGCCAAGCTAATGGGGTGCGTCGAGACGAATCTGACCGCGCGTCGTTGGATCCCCGTCACCTCTCTGAGCTCCGAGGCGTTGGACAGTGCGAGGCGTGCGGGAATGAGGACTTGCTATGCCACCTCTTCTTTTCTCCGGGTGATTGCGCGATGACGTGTGCGGCGCGCTTGCGCCTTTGTGCTGGTGGCTCGCCTGTCGCTTCTTGGCGCTGTCCCCAAGCCGGTGGCGCCAGCTCCAACGGCATGATCACGCAGAGAGTCAAATGGTGGAGCGTGTGCCTGTAGGTGTTCTTGCAGTCCCGAAAGAGTGTCAGCCTCGAGCGAGAATGAATGGCATCTGCTTTGTTCTGGGTGCAAGGGCCCTCCCAGATACCGACAACGATTTACCGACACTCCCCCCTTCGTAATACGCTTTTGACAGCATGCTGGTTTGTAGCCACAATAGACCCATAGAGTCCCACACAATATAGGCACACGTTGCTCACCACCGAGGAGACCCAAGGGTCACGGAGGCCATGGTGGGCGAGACGATGACGTGCGACAGCTTTGAAGGAGGGCAGCGTTTTCGAAGAGTTGGCTCCCTCTTCCAACTTAGAATCCGCAGACCCACTCCTCGGGACCCTGATGCCGACACGGTGAGCACAGCGGGGTCAACCAGGGCACTGGTTCTGGGGTCCAGCCTGGAGGAGGGATCGACGACGCGTAGGCTCCTTGTCGAAGCCTCGTAAAAACCACATCAGTATTTTTCGACCCGAGTTCAGGATCAGGGGATACCTGAAGGAACCCAAGACGAGCCCCAAGCCCTACTTCGCCTCCTTCATCATCCGTCTCACTAGAACTTTCGAATATGATATCTCACACAAATTCTGCCCACGAGTTCGCGTGCTCTGTGACGTCGTCCCCGTTTACCGTGCTGTGCGCGTCGAAGGTGTGCTTGCCGAGCAGTGCTGTGAGTACGTGATCGTTCTGATGTGGTGAGCGTGCTATGACTTGATCTCGTTTTAGTCGGCGTACTCGAGCTTCTAGCTTACACGGGGCCATACGCCGTAAAGCCAACACCACCGAAGTAATCATCGACTTATGGTTGATGCGCGTTGTGCCGTCGACCTCCTCCTCCTCCTGTCGTGTGTGCTGCGCCTGTCATGGCAACGCGTGCGTAGCGTGCAACTAACTTTAGTATGCCCCTTATCTTCATTTACTTGTTTCCAGTTGTTTTCATTCAGTGCACAGCACTTGCTGACATAGGGCCTGTCAGTTGTTTTCACTGCGTGCGTAGGGGTTGCCACTTGTGTTGATTTGGTATGCAACACTCGTTGCAATGCAACGCTACATTCTGAACGCAACGAATCAGCACGCCCCTCAGAACTTCCCTCGAGGTACGCCTGAGAGACCAGAAGCGCCCCAAGGAGTGGAAGGCCACGGCCACGGGACGTCGGCGCTTTTGGAGCTCTGGAGAGACACTGCTACCACCTGAGACGTCAGCTCCAAACTACCTGGCGTGCGGCTTGTGTCGGGCGGGCAAGACGATTTCGCCTCGCATCGTCATCGTTATATCGTCATCGTCGTCATCATCGTCCACGTCGTCGTCGACGTCATCGTTCATGCCACCAGCATCAGCATCAGCGTCAGCGTCAGCGTCACATTCAGCAACATTCGCATCCTCCTCCCCATCACCATCACGGTCACCATCGTCATCATCGTTATCACCGCCATCGTCATCACCACCACCAGCAGCAGCAGCAACAGCCTCCCCATCACCATCACGGTCACCATCATCATCTTTATCACCGTCATCGTCATCATCACCAGCAGCAGCAGCACCACCAGCCACAGCAACACCATCACACCTTCCAGGGGCCCCCACGGCCCAAGAGCCCTGGGCGCTCCCCCCGCGCTTGCGGCGGGCGAGGGCCCCAAGACCGGGTCGCCGGGCACGGGCCGCGGCGGGCGCCCCAGCCGTGGCGGGCACACGTGTGGCGCGGCCGGGTCGCCGGCGGGTCGGGAAGGCGGGAGCGCCGCCGCTCCCTGACCCGCCTTCCTGTCCGCCTTCTCACCCGCCCTGGGCGCCGCCGCTGCCCGTGGCGGGTCGGGGAGCGGCGGCGCCAGGAAGTGAAGTGGAAGCGGCCGGGTCCCGTGGCGGGTCGGGGAGCGGCGGCGCCGGGGACGGGAAGAAGCATCTGCACCGCGCGGACCTGCCTCCTCCACTCGCCTTGGCACGGGTCAGGCCTGAGTTCAGTGAGGGGGAGGGGGTGAGGAGGAGGGGGAGGATGGGGGGGAGGAGGAGGAGGAGGAGGAGGAGGAGGAGGAGGAGGAGGAGGAGGAGGAGGAGGGAGGAGGAGGAGGAGGGAGGAGGAGGAGGAGGAGGAGGAGGGAGGAGGGAGGAGGAGGAGGAGGAGGAGGAGGAGGGGGAGGAGGAGGAGGAGGAGGACTGCCAGCGGCTCGTCCCCGATCGACTCGGGATCGGATCGCCGCGCCCGTCCGCGGCGCCGGCGGGCAACCAGGGCGGCGTGCGGTGCAGAAGGTGGGCTGCACTCGCGCGAACAGATTTGAAGGGGCCCCAGGACACACAAATAATTACACACAAATAAAATAATCCCCCATATTTTCCCATATTTTCTGGGTTTCTGTCTTCCCCTCCGCTTCCCATATTTTCCCGTATTTTCTTGGAATCGCCGATTAATTGTGTCTGTGTGTTTTTTCCCCTCCTGAATATTGTCCTTTGCCGCCGACGCTTCTCGCCTGGGAGGTCCAGCATCCATTCTGACACGGGCACGGCGCGCCTACATCAGGCTACTGCTCCTGCCGCTGCTGCTCCAAAGGCCAGGGGTACTGCCGATGCCTCCCTGTACTGCTGGTGCACGTGCCCCTCCCGCCATCGAGGTCGTCGAGCAAGCTGACCGCACCTTTGCCAACCGATTGCGCTGCTCCGGCTCAGCTTCAGTCTTCGGACTGGCGAACTGATAAGTAGCACCGCAACATTCACCCACAAGAAGCGGAGCCGTGGACTCGTCTGCTCTATCCATACAATTTCAGGCAATCGATTATGCCTCAGCGCTGATTCACTTCTAGAAGGGGTTCGGCGGAGCGCCTACGTGCATCAACATTGCGTGCGCAAGCGCAGCGGACCTGCGAATGCCCCGCTCGGCGTTCCCCCGCTACCCGCTCCCGATCCTCACGAGTAGGGCGAGAATGATGTTGTGTTAAGATCGGCTCAGGATGCGTCCGAGAGTTTCCAGGTGTACCTTGCGGCCCTCGTTTCTGCAGGCCGTGGGGAGCATCAGAACCTTTCTGGGAACTCCAGGAACTCTTGGACATCCTGGAGCGCATCATCCTCCCGACCCCCTCGACCTCCCTGCCGCGCCGGCCAGTGTAGGGGGCCACATGCGAACCCTACCCCGACCCCCCACGATTTCTGAGGGGAAGGGTGGGGTTCACTTCGTTCGGCAGCTCCCGAGCAAAGTGAACCCCACCCCCCCCTCAGAAATCGTGGGGGGTAGGGGCAAGGTTCGCATGTGGCCCCCTACGGTGTACCTCTCGCCGGCAGCCCATGGGCCAACACGTGGCCGGAGCGTGCCGGCTCCACGCCAAGGAGGAGGCCTCCTCGACCTCCTCGCCCTCCTCGCCCTCCTCCCGACCTCCTCGACCTCCTCGACCTCCTCGCCGCGCCGCTCGCAGTGTACTTCTCGCCCGCAGCCATCGGCCAACACGCGGCCGGAGCGTGCCGGCTCCGCGCGCAAAGGAGGCCTCCTCTGGCGCGCCGTGGGCCCCTGGGCCCTGCCGGGCGCGAAGAGGAAGGCGTGGAGCCGGCGCGTCGTGGGCTCCTGGGCCCTGCCAGGCGCAGAGGAGGCCCCCTCTGCGCGTGGAGCCGGCGCGCCGTGGGCTCCTGGGCCCTGCCGGCGCGCGAGGAGGGAGGCGTCGAAGTGCCGTGCATGGCCGGCCCCTCCCGCTGCGGGGGCCCCGGCACAGCGGCGGCTCTCGGAGGTGGGGCCCCCTGCGGGCGGGGGACCGGGAGGCCGAGAGCCTCAGGCCGTCGAGGCTCCTCTCCTGCGATGCACTGCCTGCGTGTCCTGGGTCCCTCTCGCCTTCGGCACCGCCTGCTCCCGGGGCTTTGCCCTCTCCTGGCCTTGACGCGAGGCCCCGCCTTCTATGTTCCCTCCTCTGTGAATCAAAGCTCTGCGCGGCCCGCTTAGCTTCGACTGGAAGAGGCTCGCTCTCGACCCGCGGATCAAACAAGTGTCCTGGGTCCTTCGGGTCACATCCCTCAGCGCCCCATCTCTGAGCCGCTGGCCAGCAGCTCTGGGACTCCCACCCATCGTGCACGCGCCGCGCCGTGGGTCGGCTTCGCTGGGCCCGAGGGGGGGCCCGACATCGGGACCCGCGGCGGTCCATTCAACTGTGGCGAGGGGCCTCGCTAGAGGGGGGAACCAGCTCAGGGGGAGAGGGGGGGGGGGGGGGGAAACATCGACTGGAATCGGCGATGCATGGCCGACAGGTCGGCGAGGCCCCGGGTGGCAAACCCGTGCGTTCCCAGGCGGGGCGGGCTGTCGGGCCCTTGATCGGCGGCGAGTGGGCGAGTTGGGTCGGTGCGCCCCCCCGCCCCCCCTGAACCCCGCCCCCCCTAGCCTTGCCCCTGATGGGAACCGGGGAACTTGGCAACACCAGTACCAGGGACCTCCAGAAGGAGCAGGGGGGCCCCCCTCGTGGTGTGCCCTCCCACCACCCCCCTCTCGCTCGAGAGGAAATATCGTCTATCCCCTCGCTCGGGGAGGCATCGTGGACCTGCTGGAGGTGGCCCTCCGTGGCCGTGGTGGTGTCGCTCCTCCCCACGCGAGCGCCCGCGCCAGCGCCACGGCCATGCCGAGGCCGCGACGGCCCCGTGGGGCCCGAGGACGCCTCCGCGTAGATTGTCGAGAGCGAAGCGAGAGCGAGAGATTTGTCGAGGATGTCTCAAGCAAAACAAACATTTATTCGAGGATATCTCAAGCGAAACAAGCACGCTTTCTCGGGCCTCGATCTTCGAACCTCGGACCTCCATCCTCGATCCTCGGACCTCGCCGCCGTCGATCCTCGGACCTCGATCCTCGACTCTGGGATCTCGATCCTCGATCCTCGGACTTCGATTCTCGATCCTCGATCCTCGGCTTTCGGTCCTCTTAACATCATCTCTTGCTCCTCTCGCATGCTGGCCTGGGGTAGGCAACATTTATAATCCCCTCGCGAACCCGAAGTTTATTATCCCTGTGGGATTAATCTCCGTGGTGTTCGGTTAGCGGGGCGCGCTGGCCAGCGCCGCCGCCCCTCGCCGCGGGAGGCACGGGGAGGGCCGTCCTGCAGACCGGCGGGGAGGTGCCTGCGCCAGCCAGGCTGCTCCCAGCGGCGCAGGCTCTCCTGCAGGCGGCGCGGGGGCCCGCAGGGGTGGAGGTCGTCGGGATGCAACAGTCGCACACGACAGGAGTTCGGCGGCAACTCGTGGGAGCCTCCCGTACCATCTTGTCGGCTCTTGCGAATCGGCGCTAATCGACGCTAAATCGACGCAAGTCGACGCTACACCGACGCTAGTCGACGCTAAATCGGCGCTATCTCATCCACTGCCAGACGCTAGTCGACGAGAAAGACGGAAGTAAGAGGGCATACCAAGCTCCCATGATTTGCTACCGACTAGGAGGTCTTGCTGCCAGAGGCCTACGGCCAGAAACTTCTGCGGAGCATGTCGCGGCGGCGGCCCCGGCGGCACGCTGTGCCTCGCGAGTGGACAGCGCGTCGCTCCGCTTCATGGGGTCGGGGGAAGCATGGAACAGCTCGGCACGTGGACGCCTCGGGGACCGCGACGTGGACCGCGTGTCGCGCCGAGACGTGCTGGACCAGAACCTGCAGCACGTCGCACTAAGCTCAGGTCGGGCACGTCCTCCTACAGGCGGATCTGGGGAACCAGAACAACAATAGCCAACAAGCATTCAAACACAGTGAGACGTAGCAGAACAATAATTCCCTGACTACTTTTCGACGGTTCTTGCATACGTATATATATATATATATATATATATATATATATGTATTCCTCCTGTGGAGAGCCATGCCCGACTCTACCGCCGAGCCAAGAGCTCCCGGCCGCGAGGGCCGAGCCCCCCTCGACGCGGAGCCCCGCGCGGTGCCCCAGGGCTCCGCGGGCCCCGCGGGAGGCAAGACGGCCCCACGGGGCGCGCGCCGGCAGGCCCGGCTCTGACGTCGGCGACTCGCAAGAGCGACCCTTTGGGTAAGAGTGGCCTTTGGTGCGCGGCTTTTTGGGGGGGCCGCGGGGCGACCAACACACAGGCGCACAAGACGCTACTATCGCGTCGCGTTCGACGGTCGGGGCACCCCAGTGGGCCCGCACCAAAGGTCACTCCGGCGAAGGGTCACTCTTACGTGTAGTCGATAATGTGGTGTGCCTACTTTTGAGCAGGGCCCGACCGTCCTGGCATTCCCATAGGCCTACCACGACATGTTCCCAGAGCCCAAGAATGTTCTAATAACAGAAACAATGTTCTTGGAACATAAGCCCGATGCGTTAGAACAAGGCAGTCACAGACAGAACTGTTCTAAGAACATGTCGTACAGACCACAGAAGGCGATTCGAACATTCTTGGGTGGGACTATAGGCGAACCAGGACGCTTCGCCACTGCTTGACTACTGCACTCAGCTGCCCCGATGCGCAATACGCGACACGCAACCAATTGATACGGAGCTCAACACGTAGACTGAACACGTGGGCCTGACGCGATGCGTTCACCACAGCGTGTGCCAACTCGCTGAGTCGCCGAGTCAGCACGCACCGTATTGGCACGGACGCCTCAAGCACGGTACGTGCTGCGTCTCCACACGGGCGCACCGAGGCAGCCACGCTACCGAATGGGCCCCTGTGGGCGGGGTCGGAGATGGGGAGCCGGTGCGGGAAGCTGCCAGACGCACGCGATGCACGCGGGGCATCCCGCTACAGCAGACACGTGCGATCCGAACCTTGATATTACAGATTGTGGGGCGCAGTCTTCGTCGATCTTTGAGGGCTTCCGGGTGCAACGGAGCTCACGTGGATCCCCGGGGCCGTCTAAGATGTTTCCGTGGGGCACCTGCCGGCAAGCCGAAAGATTATCTGATGCGCCTACTGTCTGTACTGCCGCGGAGAAGCACCGAGAAGAAGAGCAGTATCGCTCGGAGGCTAGATGTCGCCCGCTCCTCCGCCAGAGACTCTGCAGCAGCGTCCGCCGAGTCGAAGTTGCTGCCGATCCAATTGACTGCGTGCCTGACAGCCGCGATCGCTGGGGGGGGGCCGAACTGTCTTGCCCGCGCGCGAGACTGCTGATTCTTTTTCGCGAGAGGCTGATCCCATGTCCACTCGTGGACCAAGAGAAACGAGAAAGTGAACTTGGCAAATCCCACCTGCTCGTTGGGCTGTGGTCTAACGAATATGTCTCTTCTCTCTTCCAAAACCCTCTTCCCTCCGGCAATGGGTACCCTCCCCCTCCCCTCCCTCAAATGTTTTAGGGGGCTCCGCGATGTGTCACGAGGTCTGTTCCGTCTCGCCCAGTGCGGCTCCAAGAGGGCTTCCTGTGCTCCAAGATGGCCTCCACGGCGGCTCAAGACAGCCGAAGATGGTTCCAAGACAGCTTCCGACGTGCCTCCAAGAGGCCCGATGAAGACCACAAGACAGCTCCAAGTGATCGCGGAGCCCACTCAAGACAGCCCTCCCCCAGAGGCCAAAGCCCTTCAGCAATCTCAGGAAACACTGATCTTGGCCGTCTGGCGCTTTCGCTTCTGATGCGCTTTTGATGGCCCCAAGATGGCCCAAGAGAGTCCCAAGATTGGCCGAACATGCCCGCAAGACGGCCCCAAGAACGCCCATAATTGCCCCAAGAGGACCACAAAAGACGATTTCGACAGCCCCAGTGGGTGGACCAGACGTTAGGACCCCTCTCTTTTCACCGACGCTCTCCACGATAGCCCCAAGAGGCCCTCCAAGGCTCCCAACAGCCCAAAGAGGGCTCCAAGAGGCGATTTTGACGGCTCTGTCCTCGTCCTCGTTGTCCTCCATTCCTGTTCCTTCTGAATAACTCATCCCTGTCGCACCCCGAGGACAGTCGGAAGGGCGGGCCGGGCATTTCGCCTCAGACTTCCCTACCATTTATGAACGCAGCAATATCACATGAAGGACGGGTCGATTGTGGCTCTCGCCTCAGCGCCGCGCATAATCGTTTCAAACAGTTGCGAGAGTTTGATGGGTTGAGAGCGGATGGTTTTCAGAACGTGGCTCTCGCCTTATCGCTGCGAGCATTCGTTTGAAACATTCGCAAGATTTTAACGGATCGAAAGGGGGTGGCTTGTAAATGTGGCTCTCGTCTGGGCGCCGCGGACACTCGTCTTAAAACTTTGCAAGAGCTTCACGGATTGAGGGCTGCTCCTTTTCAAAAAGTGGCTCTCTCCTTAGCGTCGCGCACAGTCGTTTCGAACATGTGCCAGAGTTTCACTGGTTCTCATGGTTAACGTACAAGAGGTATTGTTTTGAAACGTTGGAATCCTGAAGATGATGTTTTAGCACAACTCAAGACTTTCGCACGGTTGTCCCCCACCTGGGCACTTCGCTCAGTGGAAATGACGCCCTGTAGGGTCCTACGAAGAGGGAGCTTGGAAAGAGGGTGTATTCTAACACCGTTGGTGAGTGTTTTGTTTGCAGTGGTCCGCCTCCCACTCGTCCTGGACCTCGTCCTTGCCCTGATCGTCTTCCTTTTCCTGTTCCTCCTCTTCCTCGTCGTGGTCGTCGTGGTCGTCGTCGTCGGCGTCGTCGTCTTCCTCCTCCTCCATCTTCCCTCGCCCTCGAGGGCCCCAGGGATGGCCCGAAGAGGCCCTCAAAGGCCACCCCCTTGCTCCGAAGATGTCTCTTTTCATCATGGTTGCCCGCTTTGTTTCACTATATGGTCCCTTCGTCCCCGTTCCAATCAACTCTCAATGGCAAAATTTGTGAATGGGCTGGTGGGAATGCGCGAACTGTGAAGAATTTTCGAGACGGCATGATGTTCTGAGGTGCATCTGGGCCTACATCCGACGCCGAGACCCCCGGCACGCACAAGGCGTGGCAGGATGACAAGTCCTGCCTTGTAGCATCATTGGTAAATCCTCTGAGGGCCCCACCCAAGGGGAACTGGGACACACAAATAAATAGACACAAATAACCAGATTCCCCATATATTCCCATATTTTCTGGGTTTCTGTCTTCCCCCCCACTTCCCATATTTTCCCATATTTTCCTGAGGATCGACGATGAATTGTGTCTGTATGTTTTTTTTCCCTCCTGAGAGGGGAGCGACCTCCCCCGCCTTCGCCCCCCTGCTTCTCACCACACCCGGCCGGGCACATCATCCCCCCCTCCCGAAGCTGCGGGCGGCCCCACGCCTCCCTGGGGTGCTGCTTCTGGGACCGTCTTCCGATGTCACCACAATAGCCAGATGACCGAGCAGTGCCTCAAATTGCACCCGCCCGCCGTTAAGGTGACCCCAATATGTGCGCGGAAGGAGCCGCAGATGCTGCCAGAGACACCCAAAGAAAAAGGCTAGGAGGCGCTCCATGACGGCCGCACCCGATCAAAGCACGGGCGAACTCCTGAGGTGGGTGACTGTGCTGCTCTTCCAGGGCCCCTCGGCACCACACGGTTCCGAGAGGCCTCGCAAGACGGCGCCAAAGGCAGCCCGAGAGGGGCCCCGGGACAGCCCGAGAGTGCCCACGGATGGCCCACGAGTGCCTCAAGGAGGCCTCACGAGACTGCTGGCTACGAGCCGTGTCAAGGACCCGTATATGGCGGTACCAAGACGGCACAGGAGGGTCCAAAGACAGTCCCCAGATAGGGGATGGGGGAAGAGGAGAGGAGGATCGGGAGCGGGCTCGTGAACTTCCTGGCGCTGACTAGAGGGCACTGCCCTTGCAACTGGGAAGGCCTGCGAGGAGGAGGATGGGGGAGGAGGGGTGGAGGATGCATGAGGAGGAGGAGGAGGAGGAGGTGGAGGAGGAGGAGGAGCAGGAACAGGAAAACGAAGAAGAAGATGAAACAAGCAACGAGGAGGAGGCGAAGGAGGGGGGCAGCAGAGGATGGAGCAGGAGCGCGAGTCCCTGCGTGGGCCTGGCTGTGCAGGGCCCCGAGCTCGGAGAGCGGACGGAGACTCGGCGGCGCCTCGTGGATGCGGCCGGCGATGCGGCGGGCGCAGAGGAGCAGAACATGGCGCAGGCACAAACTTCGGGAGGTCCGCGCGGACTTCTCGGATCCGCGCTGTACCCCCCTCCCCCCTGGCGCGCTCCGCGCGCCAGGAGGGCACAGCGCTGATCCCAGGAAGACGCGCGGAGCTCCAGGCGTATGTACGTATGCCGTGCCTCTTCTTCTTGGAGACATCGCATGCAGGAGGCGGCTGGCGCTGTCGAGCTCGCAGCATCGGGGAGGTCCAAGAGGGGGGCGTCCAAGAGGGGGGCGCAAATCATGGCCGGCGGCATGTGCGGGGCCCAGGGGGGGGCGGGAGACTTAAGGAAGGAAAAAGAGGTGCCATGAATCTGGGAAGATATCCTGGCACCCGCCATGATGTTCCCCCCCCTATATCATCACCACCCTCCTGGCCGCCCCCGATCTTCGAGACATCACATGTACAGGAGGGCCCAGAATCGAATCGAGAAATCGGATCGGCGACCGAGAGGAGTCGGATCGGCAGAACTTGGCAGCCACGCCGGGAGAAATCGAATCGGCAGAGATCGGCAGGCTAGCGGGCCTCCGTCGAGGGAGCGGCATCCGTGCCGGAATCCGACGTCGCATCGGATCGGCATCGGAGGCCATCGACGCCGAGTCGGCGCGAAGCGGCGGCCATCGGAACGGGCACCGCATGCAGGAGGCGGCTGGCGCCGTCCAGCCCGCGGATGCCGCGGGGCGAGGAGCAGGGCGCCCGGCGTGCGCTCGCGGCAGGCCGCGCCACGGTTGCCAGCGGGGCGGCCGGGCGTGTCGGGAGGACGGGGTGGGCGACATGAGTGTATGCATAGGTGAGGATATGCTGGAGGGGGATAGTACCAGGGGGGATACATAGGGGACATAGGACGGTGCCTATCTCCCCTATCACATACTCCCCCTGGTACGGGGGGGGGCATTGGATGAGGAACTCTGAATGGGACGCACAGGGACATACTACTACTATAGGTCCTCCTTGGAGGCGCGCGTCCGACCCGAGCATGCAGTATACCCATCTTGTAGTATATCGTTTCCCGAGCGGTGTGGCCAGAAAGCGCCCGCCACGACGCCTATACTATTAGATTTCTCGGTGCGCGCGTCGCCCCTGGGGGGGCGACGCACATACAGTATAAGTATGTTGCGGTTACGCCGACGGCACGGTGGGGTCATTGGATGAGGAACCATTAAGATAAGGAGTCCAGAGCCTTTTTCCGGTGGAACTCCAATCGTGGCCTGGCCATGGATATCGCCGCCGCCCTCATCAAATAAGGGATCCTTCAGGGTCTGCAGCCTCCTGGGCACACTCCTGAATCAACGCCCCCACCGCAGGGCACCTATGGTTTTAGGACGAGAGTGCTGTCATGACGCGACAATGCGTTCTACCTCCCCCCCGGAATCAAGCGAAAGTCTTTCCCGCGACGTACTGGCGCTCCAAGAATCCGACATTTCAGCGTTCGCGCCAGAATTGGCGTTTGCAGACACAAAAATTGGACCCCGTGGGCCGCGTTTCGCGCGTCGGCCAACATTGAAAACTTGCTATGCTTTCCAGGAGGGTTGTAGGTCCCCCTGTTGTTTTAGGACGAGAACGATGTCATGACGCAACGATGCGTTCTAGCAGAGCTCCTGCAGCTTCAGCGGTGCGGTTCCTGTGTCAAGAGATACGTCATGGTGCAAGTTTTGGGGGTAGGGCTTCCGTAGATGTGGGTCTCAGGATGCGTCCCAGGCTTTCCAGAGTATGCAACCTCCCTCGTTGTTGCAGCCTGTGTGAAAACATGCTCCATAAAATCCAGACAACCCTGGGAGCCGTGGATATCTTGAAACGCATCATAACCACGACTCCTTGCTCGCCTGCAATTTTTGCCAGGGAGACCTCCCGCGGGCATCCCGAGAAGGTCGCCCCCTCGATTTGCTCCCCAGCGCTCTGTTTCGGCCTTAAGAAGGTCCCAAAAAGGAGCTGCAATATGTAATGTGTACAATGACCACCGCAACAGGCTCAACTAGGCCCCCTATGAGCCCCCCAAGAGGCGCCAAAAGATACCTCCAGCAAGGCTTCCGAAGCTCTTCGGCTGAAGATGGCCTAGGGAATGCTTCAAATGACCCCGAGAAGCTCCCACGACGGTCCCATGGCTGCCCGATAACTCCTTAAAATGGCCCGAGAACGCCCCAAGAGGGCTTGAGAAGTCGAGACATCCCCAATACCTGCCTGGACGGCCCCAACATGGATTGATCCGCTCTTCGGGAACTTCCGAAAAGGTCTCAAAGAAGCTAACGGGCAACGAGTTAGCAACAATGCATCGTTACAGGCGCGGTGCGCTACAACATCGTAGCATTTTGTCCCAGACTGCCCCAAGATGGTTGCACCGAACTGCATTCAGGAGACCTCGGTAGAACCATCGCGCATGGATGCCCGACCTGAACTGCCACGTTGGCGGGGTGTGCCGTAGGCAGCTGGCCACTTGTCCCTCACAGCGTCTTGACCGGCTCCAGCCAGGGCTGACCTGTCGCAACTCAGCAGAAGACTGCAGACCTAGAATCCTCCAAAAAGGTTAGAGGCCCGCAGCCGATGCGGAGCAACACGGAGTGCTTCACATGGCAGCAGATACGTGCAGCGCCTCGGAACCTATGCCCAGGAGGACTGGTCTTCACCGTGCCGGGGGATCCCGGACCGCCTGCTCCAACGCCCGCTGTGCGCCAACGATACGCGTATACCAGGAAGCCCGGACGTAGAAAGAGCGGCCACCCTGACGTAACGCTGTGAAGTATACGCGATGTGTCAATCCCAGGGTCCGCCGCCGACACCAAAACAAAGACTTGTGGCTTGCTTCCTTGGTTCTTTGAATGGAACATGACGCGACCTCGTGTAAATGCATATTCGTCCTTCCAACTCTGCCGCCACACTTCCCACGCACGCAATGCCGCAATGCCCCTGTCTTCTCAAGTGGTTAGGCCGAACCGCGCCGTCCATCCAGCCGCCGTGCGCCATCATCAACCGACAGGCGGAAGCCTCCACTGCAAGATGCCACCAGAAAAGCCAGGCTGTAACTGCACCACGGCGCGAACAGACACAGCGTTCACGGGCTGAAAATCTATTCGGTTGAACGTGTCGCGGGCGATTCCGAACTCGCTACCCTCTGCGAGCTCAACCGGGCGCCAACTGCTGTCGTCTTCGTCCTGGGAGGGCAGCAAAGGGAAGGATCATCTGTACACGTCAAGGCACGGCAGGCATTCGTGAGTGCACCACCTCTTGGACTCCCACATCGGGCCCCGCCGAAGGAACACACAACATACTCGTGGGTGCAATGGAGCTGACGGTGGGCATACGGGGGAAGGCGCCTTCTACACGGTGAGCGAGCGGACGGCTCCAGAGGACATCGTGACGTCTTCGCAGCCCAGACACCCAAAGGCCTCGACGTCTTCCCCAGGGTTGCTTTCCCGTCCCATGCAGTCTGCTGGATCGCTCCGGGGCCCGACCACCCCCCCACCAGAAGTTAACATCACAGGCATGAGAATCTTGGAAACAGCTTTCGTGCTGACGTTTTTCGCAAACCCCGAGGTTCTGCAACCCTCCTCGGGATCAGACGCAAGTTTCTACTGTCGGCCGACGCGCGAAACGCGGCCCACGGGGTCAGGCTTCCGGCGCGAGCATAAAATGTTGGGGTCCTGGGGCGCCCCCACGTCGCGGGACAAACTGGCGTTTGGTTTCGAGGGGGGATGTGGGAGCCCTCCAGGGCAGGCTTTGGAGAGGGGCAGCGACTGAGGGGTCTCTGCTCGGATTGGGAAACGCTGACCTGGTACTGACGATGCACCGCCAATAGCTCGGCAATATGTTCTCGATCGCGCATCCGCACGCTCCTGGCCGGGGACGGGCTACCAGACCCCTATCGGCGATGAATGGGCGATTGGGGGTCGATGCGTCCGCCACGTGAGCCCATGTCCCCCTAATGTTAGGTCGAGTATGTCCCCCTACAGGCGGACTTCGGGAGACAAATTAAGCATATAATTACACACATTTATTTACTTATTTATTTATTCATTTTTTATATTTATATATATTTTAAAAACTCCCCTGCCGATTTTTGTCAATTCTTGAATATTCCTTCTGTAGAGGGACACGCCCGACTTAACCCTAACGTTGCCCCCTGGTTTTCGGGTCATAACTCTGACCTCTGGCGGTCGCTCGGGACGACCTCGGCAAACCAGGCACGACCGCGGCGAGGCACAGCTGCTTCAAGGCATCCCGAGGCTGGTAAATCGCAGAACACCGGCGAACGCGCCCGATAGCCTTGAGCCTTGAGCCTCGGAAGCCCCCCCTGAGCTCCTCAGCCTATCCTCCGCTACAGTCGGGGTGGATTGGAGAAGACCCGCGAGAGGCCGCCATGCCCTTCCGAAGGCCACATTTCCATAGGACCGTAGAAAGCATGGGTCGCGATACACAGGACACAGGGATACCCTCGATTCGGCAGGGTCGACCTACGAATCAGCCTCGACAAAACAATCACCCCGTATCGCAAGGATGCGCGATAAGGATGTAAGGGCCTTGGACAACCATTTCGAAGCTATCCGGGCGGGGCGCGGCCAACGAAGGCGGCGAAGGATGGACCGCGGAGGCAAGGATGTAGGGGTACCCTTGGGAAGGTTGCCCATCCTTACTATGCGGGTTGACTGCATCATTGCCCCTGAGCCGTCCTTCCCCGCAACCTGCTCGCTGCTGCCCGCGCCGCCGCGGCTTCCGGCGGCGCGCGCCCCACGCCAGAGCAGCCGCCAGGAAGCGGGCACGCGGCAGCGGCGGCCGCGGGCAGCGCGGTCGTCCAGCCAGTACACCTCTGCGGGGCGGGCCCAAAACAGGCACACACAGCGCCCGCTACAGTCATCCCGTTCCGTAAGGTCGCACGAAGAGGATGCAAGTGCCTTGGAAGGCCATGTCGACACTCTGCGAGCGTGGCGCGGCCAGCGAGGGTGACCAAGGATGGGCCGAGGAGGCGAGGATGCAAGGGTACACTTGGGAAGGCTGCCCATCCATGCTATGCGGAGTGACTGTACCCCCGCCACCAGCTGACCCATGACCTCCGAGGACCTGGTCTGCTCCATCCTGGTGCTTGCATCGACATTTCGGCCTGGGCCCGTTGTCGGGTCCCGGGGCCATCAGGCGTGGATCTGCTGGACAGGCACAGGCGGTGCCCGCGACCCCCGCCACCAACTGGCCCCGATCTCCGAGGGCATGGCCTGTTCCATCCTGACGCTCGCAGCGACATCTCGGCCGAGGCCCGTGTTTCGGCCCTGGGGCCATCGGGCATGGACCTGGTACTGGAAGCTATCCCTGGGGAGTCGAGGATTGACGTAGCCCCCCTTCGGCGAACGCCCTTTCGCGAAAGCTGCTGTGGCACTCCGTGGGTGCGCGCGGCACCGCAGTCCGAGTGCACCCAGGCGGAATCACAAACCGACGTCCAAAAATAACCGAATGTCTCAAGCGAGACGCGCGCCGATTGGCGAAACCGACTGGGGACTACACCAGCACACTCCAATTCCACCGTCGAGTGCACCCGTGCAGATGTCCTCCGCCGCCTTGTCTGGGTGGGCGTGCTCTCAATGCCCAAAAGGAAGGGGCTGGGACCTCTCCAGCCCCCAGTGAAACCATCAGGTCGGAAGATGCGTGGGGACACCGCGACCCGCCGCCGCGTTGCCGAGCAGGATGTCGAGCAGCAACGCAGGGGCCAAGATCGACGGGCCATGTGTCTCCGTCTTGCCTCGGGCGGGGCCAAGGCCGCTCTACCAATGTGGCTGGTCAAGAGACTGCAGCCGGCGTGCCCGAATCGAAGCATCCGCCCTCCCCCCTCTACCATCCTCCTCCTCTTTCCCCTCCTCTTCCTCTTTCTCCTCCTCTTTCTCCTCCTCCTCCTCCTCCTCCTCCTCCTCCTCCTCCTCCTCCTCCTCCTCCTCCTCGCCCCAGAGGGGCACCCTTACAAGCGGGGTGTCGACCCCGAGTGTGCCCAGGTGCAGGCGGGGAGCACCGAGCCCTCGGGGCCCGCGCCCGCGCCCACGCACCCGGGCTGGCACCCAGCGCGGGGCCCCCTCCCCGAGGGGGCCGCCCAGTGCGCACGCGTCCCTGCACGGGCGGAGGCCCCTCCCCGGCTCCCCGCGGCAGCGGCCACGCCGGGCGGTCCGTCCTCCCCGTCGTGTCGTCGGCGTCGGTGTCGCGTCGTCGTGCCTGCCGCGGCCGCCGCGGCCGTCGTGCCGCCGCCGCCGCGCTGCCGTCGCCGCGTAGCCGTCGGCGTCGTCGTCGCGTCGTGGGTCGTCCTGCCGGGTGCCGTCCGTCGTCGTCGCTGTCGCATCGTCGTCGTCGTGATCGGTTCAGCGTCGCCTCGTCGCCGTCGTCGCTGTCGACGTCGTCTCGTCCCCTGTGTCCCCTTCGGCCCCAGGGTCCGAAAGATCATCTTGCGCTGTGAGCGCTCCCGCGGCGGGCCGCGGCGGCGCGCGCGGGGCGGCTTCGCACTTCCAGGGGCGAGCTGGCCGCCGCCTCCTAATCCTCCTCCTCCTCCTCCTCCTCCTCCTCCTCCTCCTCATCCGCCTCCTCCTCCTCCTCCTCCTCATCCTCCGCCTCCTCCTCCTCTTTCTCCTCCTCCTCTCCTATCCCTAGACGCGCGAGCCTGCCAGCCGAAGGTGGGCAGGCCCCGTAATGGCAGCGCGGGCGGGCCGGAGCCGTCTCAGAAATGCACGTGGTCGAGGAACTCGTTTCCACAGTCACCCCGCAATGGACGATCAGTTGACTATTACCAATCACCCCTGCACCAGGGGGCACAAGGAGCCCGAGACCACCCTGACCGGCAGATGTCCGGCGGCTGTTTCGCATGAGACTTTCTCACCATTGGCCCAGAAAGCATGCCCTCGCCTCAATGCCAACCACGTTTTTGGTCCAGGCAGCCACGAGATCCGTTGCAACAAAACAAGCTGAGGTGCACAGGGCCGTGCCCAGCCTCGATCCCCCCATCTTCACCTTTGCTGCTGTTGGGATGTTTTTTGCTGGGATAATAATCGGTACCCGCCACTATGTGGCACACCCCTCCTGAAATGGGGGAGGGGGAAGGAGACACCTGTGGTGTGCATCTTTGAGCCCAATTGCACCTCCATCGCGGCGACAATGCACGCGGTGGGCAAGTCCAGCTGCGCCCACTCCTGAGAATCACTGGATACCCGCGAACCAAACCCTCCAGACTCTCCCACTTTAAAGTGTGGGAGGAGGCGAGGAGGAGAGAAGAGCGTCACCTCTCTTCATCGCCTCCTCCCGTTCCTCTCCTCCTCGCCTCCTCGCCTCATCCCCTCTCCTCCTCGCCTGCCCCTGAGAGGGGAGATGTGAGAGAATGGGGGGACGAGATGGGGTAGGAGAGGTGATACGTAGAGGAGAGGATGGTAAGTGAGGGGAGGGGAAGTGAGGGGAGGGGAAGTGTAGGGGGAAGTGAGGGGAGGAGAGATGTGGGGGAAATGAAGAGAAAAGGTGAGAAAGACAGTTATCGTGTTGGGAGGACGGGGTTGGGAGAATACAGGGTATGAGTAAAAGCATCCGGATGCAATGAACGATAGTTTCGGCCGCCTGCATCTAGCGAAAGGGAAACGTGTTGTCACCGCAGCGGATGGGCCGCCAATCCAACACCGCGCAAGTTTCCTAAGAAGCGGGTTGCAACCTGCAACCTACTTCGTGGCCCATCTGAGGTGTTGAAGCGACGCGGCGAACACTGGAGGTGGAGCAGTGGCATGAGCAATGCCAAGGGTTTTAGCAACTGCCCAATGAATAGTAAATTCCGTATCCGGTTTCGTATTGCGGTCCTTTGCTGATGCGGAATCCACAAGTGATGCTTTCCTCGTGCTCATACAAATGTTGGGACCCCAGCAGGCTCCGTCTTGCGCTCCGTTCCTGACACGGCAGTAGTAAAATTCCGTATTGCATCCTGTTCGGAATCGCTACTGCGTTGGTCCGCCTCCGTTCTGCATGGGTTGCGCCATGACTTCTGCCTGAGTCGTTTGCACCTGCGGTGCAGCATCGCTGCCGATCGGACGCCCAAGGACATTCCGCACTATAGAGGCCCGGCCAGTGACGCGCAGAGCACGGTTCCTCAGGAGGAACAGCTGAGATGAAGGAGAGAAGCGTGAATGCGATGAACGGGAACGTCGTTTCCGGCGATGTGAAAGCGAAGAGCTAACCCAAATTCAAACAAAAGTACCAGCGACATCGGCAGGTAATTCAAGCTGCAGGGGGGTTGGAGGATGCGACGGCCAATGCCCGTGCACATGCCAGTCTACCGAGAACCTCAAACATGCGCGATAATACAAATGGTATGATCACGTCTCCCAACCACATCCTCCCAGCCCGATAGTTGTCTTTCTGAGATGGGAGGACGAGATAGGAAGTTGAGGGGAGGAGGGTAGGTGATACGTAGAGCAGAGGGGGAGGGGAAGAGGACAGGGAGACGGACTCGGGTCGGAATGAGCAAACCCACGCTGCACAGAGCGACAATCGAAGCAGAATCCAGTTATGAATTTAGCGAAAAAGGGTTGTGCAGACATGCCATTAAAGTCTCTCGGGCTGGCCAAAAGCGCCGACTTCCATGACAGACCCCTCCCGCGACGACCCTGGTCCGCCGCCTCAACATGAGAGTAAACACCCGCCTCTCGGCTTGCATCCACATGCGCGACCTCTGTGGATCCTCATCAGCGCCATGAGATGGCAGGGAGCCAGACTGGTGCAAAGAGATACGCAGCCAGGACGTGCAAAAGACTTTAGGCAACTTTCTGTATGCGTGCCAGCTGACGTGGCCATAATCTCCCGAAACAGCCGCCACGAGGGGTAACGAGAGGGGGGGACCGACTCAGGTTGAGTAGGGACCGACCGTCCCGGCATTCCTATAGGTAGGCCTACCACAACATATTCTTAGAACCAAGAACTGTTCCAAAAACAAAAACAATGTTCTTAGCACGTGAGCCCGATGTGCTAAAACACGACAGTCCCAGCCAGGACTGCTCTAATAGCATTTCGTGCACACCACAAAACAGGCTCTTAGAACATTCTATGGAGGGCCTGTTGGCGGGCCAGGACGCTTCGCCACTGCTTGGTCAGGAGAAAACATCAAAACGGAGTCGGCGATTGCTTATCGATCGGCGCTGGGCCCCCGATGGCAGATCCGCGGGTTCCTGGGCGGGGCGGTCTATCGGGCTTCCTGTCGGTGGTCCATGGATGCTCGGAGGTCGACGCATCCCCCCCCCCCCAAGCCTCCCCCCCTAGCGTTGCCCCTGCTTCCTCCGAAGCAACGGATACGAGTGCGAGGTCTCCGCTGTGAATGCCGCCCCCTCCCCCGGTCGGGGGCCCAGGGTAGACTGCACCCTGGGAGTCGCACAGCCCGCAGCCTTCACCCCAAGCTCGATGGTTTACAATTGGCATCGGGCCTTGGTCGAGCGCTGACCCCGAGGACTAGTCGGAGTTTTCCCCATCTCTTCCTTTTCCCTTGTGTATGTCGTCTGATGTTGAAAACCCTCAACGCAGCGGCCGATTGCACAGGACATTCGGAGGAGGGCAACGTGAGACAACGGCCGTGAGACAACGGTGGCCAAGTCGGCTCAAAATCAGACCCCGGACCCCTCCCGGGATCCAAACGCACCGATTTTTCATGCTGCGTCCAGCCGTGGCGACGAGGAGGCCCCTTGGAGGCGAAAAAGGCAGAAACGTCACCCTTGTCTCACCCTGCCCTCCTCTGAGACATGCCATCCATCTCGAGATCCCTGTGGGGGGGTGGTGGCGCCAAGCCCGGGGGCTTTTCTCTCGTGCCCCGGCCCTGGACCCGGGAGGCCGGTCAAGCACTCTGGGAAACAGGGGAGAGGGAGGAGGAGGAGAAGGAGGAGGAGGCGGAGCGTCCCCAGAGGTCCCTTGGTCAAGCTACCCTTGGCCCCTCTGCCGCTGCCCGCTCGAGCGCCTCCACTCGCCCATCGGCAAGTCGGTGGCGAGGCGAGCTGCGCGGGCGATGAGGAGTGAGGAGGGCGGGTCGGGCGCGGTCGAGCCAGGGGCTCGCCTTCGCGCGTGCAGCAGGCGGTGGAAATGATAAAGAATGACAATCTGACGCAGACGCACCAGCGAGCATTCAGAAAGAGCAAGACGGTCAGAGAGAGAAGCAGGAAGGTTGAGACGGGAGACCATAGCAACATTCCAGAGAAATCGGCGGCAATCGATGTAGTGAGAAAGGCTATATCGGGCGCATTCGCACCCGAGCAGGCAGCCTCGGTCGGCATTCCTTAGTCTGGTGTCTGTGACCCACCCCCCTGTCCAGGCACGGATGGCGGCCATCCGCCAAGAGGGGGGGGCCGAGGCGAGCATCGAATTAATGGCAGCCCAGTCGAAAGCCGCTGAGGTCTCGAGAGGGATCGAGAACCACTTGACGAGACGGAGACGCAGGCAGGCGATGAGAGACCGAGGAGGGGAGGAAGGGGCACGAGGGGGAGACAGGTAAATCGCAGGACGGATACCTCTCAAGAGAGCGCGCTGCACTTTGAATCTTGGGACGCCTCTGCCAGCAGCGCCAGATCGCTCCACCCTCTGCGGTGCGGAGCGTTCCCGCGCAGCACGACGCTCGGCCACGAGGGCCGCCGGCCCCTCTTGGGCCGCCCGACGGTCCCGCCCCAAAGACGGCCTAGCTTCCGCCGCCTCCCGCAGAGACCACGCAACCGCCGGCCCCCGCCAGAAGGACGGCCAGTGGCAAAGCTCCTGGGCCCCGCGGGGGCCGCGCCAGTGCAGCTGGCCAACCTGGGCGTGCTCCCACGCAGCGGCTTCTAGGAGGCCGCACATCCTGGACCAACACTCTTTAAACGACAGGGCTGTCCTCATCCTGGCGGCGAGAGCGTTGCTTCGGATACCCTGGGCCCGCGGACCACCGAGGGAGTCGAGGTCGAGGAAGCAGAAGGCAGAGAGCCAGGATCCAGGGGCCCGAAACACGCGAGTCAACAGATCTTTCTCGCGCCGCTGGAGGGACCGAGGGGTCTCATATAAATGCGACTTGTATGAGAGCACGCTAAGCGCGCGCTCGTGGTAGAGCGAGACGACGGCAGCAGTGTCAGCATGGGAACGCGACAGGGCGGCGACGCGGTGCTCAAGCTTCGCCGCAGGTGCTGCCCACTGCTCTTCGCTCTCAGCAGCGGGGCCTACAACATAGCCAAGGTACTCAAGCGTCGGGCCGACCTTGAACTCAGCCCAGGATGCACACGCGGAGGCCAGCAGCTCGGACGTCGGGGCAACGAGATCATCAGACCACGGGGCCCAAAGAGGGGTGGCACAGCATTTCGAGGGTTTTAAAGCGAGCCCCGCCAACTTATCGGAGTTCTTGAAAATCCTAGCGAGCACCCTGAGGCCTGGCTTTCCCCACACAACCGCCCCCACGTCGTCCGCGCACCACCTCCCGACTCCTTTGCCAGCGGCCTCTAGGGTGCGCTCCATATCCGCGCAGAACGGATGAGCAGCTAGGACGAACAGACTGCCAGAAAGAGGATCACCCTGGAGGACCCCCGCGAGGATGAGGAAGAGGAGGCCCCGAGAGCAGTCGGAGCTAACGGCAGCAGCCATAAGATAGTTGGCTCGGATTGCATTCACCAGGGCCTCTGGGGCTCCCCAATGGGACAGGGCGGCCCAGAGCCACGAGTGGGCCACAGATGGGAAGGCATGTGCACAGTCATAGGCAAGAAGCAGAGGCGAGGCGAGGTCAGAGGAGGGATGATTCAGAGCACGCATGCTCGCAATTCTCGCGTGACTGTCGAGCTCAATTAGGTTTTCGAGAAAGTGACGCTCACAGATGAAGCCACGCTGGCTGGGCGCCACTGCCGCTTCCACGGCCCGCTTCAGAGGGTGGTTCAGGGCCGCGCTGATCGCCTTGGCCCCCGTGTTGCGCAGCGACAGCGGGCGCGTGCAGCCAGGGGCTCGCGAGACGCTCACCATGTCGGTCACCAGCGAGCCCTTCGGCAGGAAGATGCTGATCGCGTGGTTGTAGCCTGAGCGCATGGGCAAGCCATCCAGCATCCACACCAAGGAACGGTGGAGAGCCTCTGCGCCGCCAGAGGCCACAGCCCAGGCCGCGGCGGGGAGGCCGTCTGGGCCAGGGGCCGCTGGGCGCGCACGGCGGAGCGCCTCTCGCACCGTCGCCACTGCGGGCGGGCAGTAGGCGTCCCAGTCGACCGCGGGAACCCCGAAGCGCTTCAGGTAGGCCGGCTGCTCTCGGGCCCTCTGCTCGGTGAGCGCGGCTGGCGCCGGCGGGCAGAACACCTTGCCCCAGTGCTGGCCCAGCGCTGCGTTGATGTCGGAGGCCTCTGTCAACTCGGCACCATCTGTCTCGAGGCGCGCGAGGTAGCGCCGAGCGTTGAAGGGAGCCCAGAGCCGCGCCCGTCGCTTCAGAGCCCGCTGCTGGGCCACGAGCTGGCGCCGACGGCTTTCTTCAGGCCCATGCTGGGCCGCCTCCTCAAGGACGCGGCGTCTGCCCGCAGCGTCCTTCCGCTGGGCGATGTTGTATCTCCTCTGGAACCCCGCGTAGTCGAGGATCTCGACCGAGCGAGTCTGCTCCGAGGCCCTGACCAGCTCGCGCGCCCAGGCGTTCTGTGCCACCGCCAGCTGCGCCAGCCTCCAGTCTTGGCGCCAGAAAGCCCTCGCCAGCTGGCGCCAGATGATGGCGGAGGCGCCCTCGGTCCAGCCCTCGGCAACGAGGATCTCGTTCTGGACATCCTTGGCCGCCGCCTGCAGGATCCGCGTGAAGTACTTGTACTCGTCGGGCGGCTCTTGGTGCTGCATGGGGACCATCGCCAGGTACACGTCGACAATCTCCTTGAAGCGCGGGCGCTGGACCACGGCGAGGGGGGTGGCCGCTGGCGTGTCAGGGTGTCGGCGCCCAGGCGTACGCCGCAGCAGCGAGACAGCGACCATGGAGTGATCGCTGATCCCGCGGATGTGCATCTCGCGCGCCTCGCCTCGCACTTGGCACGCCTGCCAGCCTTGGCAGAGCTGCCACCGCGGGATCCCCACGAACACGCGGTCGATGGAGGAGCTGGTGCGCGTGCTGGCGTTCCAGTGCGTCGGCTTGCCAGGCGTCATCTCCGTGGCTGCCCGCAGCGCATCCAGCCATTGCCGCTGGCCAGGGTGGCGGGCCAGACGTGCGGTCTGGCCAGCTGCGGCTGCCGCCTGGGCGCGTCCGCCTCCACCGCGGCTGGGCCGCGTGGCCTGCGCCTGCAGGGGCTGGTCGGCATCCAGGAAGCTGTCGATCTCGTCGTAGTCGCCGAAGTTGAAGTCGCCCACGACGAAGGTGGGGCGGGTGGCGGGGCACTGGTGCGCCCAAGCCAGGTCTTGCCGAGGGCGTTCTGCAACGCGCCGCCGTTGATCAGGTGAAATGTCGTGGTTGTGGATGTTCCAGTGGACGAAGTTGCACGGCTGACTCCCCTGAGTCGAAGGTCGAACTTCACCACTGAGCCTGAGGATGCGACCAGGGACCACCTCCTCAGGAACAAAATCGCAGGCGTAGCCGTCAGCAGTGGCGGGCACCACCGTGTCCACCCCTTTTGCGTCTTCTCGGCCTCCTGGCATGCACGAGGAGAAGCAGCAGAACGGTTTACTCAATCGCTCCAGAAGCACCTGCATGCTGTACTCGGAAGCATGCGTCTCCTGCAGCGCCAGCAGCACTGGCCCCTTCCAATATCGCTGAATATATGCAAGTTTCTTCTTGATCTTCTTGGTGGCATTCTTCCCAGACTGCTTTAGAGCCCTGCAGTTCCAGGTCCCCAGATGCACACCATCACCGTCGCCTCCCCAGGCGCGCGAGAGAGTGTCAAAGCGTCCAATGCTGCGCCTCGGGCTCCAAGACGCGATCCACCACCGCCTGCAGGGCCTCCTGCGTCTGGCCGATCGCACGCACAGCCACCATGTTCCACGACACCGTCGGCGTGGCACCTGGGGACGCGATGGAGAGCTTGAGCAGCTGGCGCCACTTGGCCGTGATGGCGTTGGCCTCCTTGTCGGCGAAGAGCCGCGCCTCGATCGTCTCCTGAAGGGCGGCCTTGATGCGCTTGAGGTAGATCTCGTGGGAGATCTGGGACTGGTTGCGGTCGCGGCCCACGCTGAGGGGACGCTCGGGCCGTTCGGCAGCGCGGCGGCGAACTCCCGCCACGCGGAGGGGCCTGTGCGCAGGAGGCCCACGAGCTTCCCCACGCGCCGCGTGGCCAGGCCCACGGCTCCCACGCAGCGGAGCTTGAAGTGCCTCCCCATCTCCTCGCCCTCCAGCCTTGTCGCCTCAGGGGTGAGGTTGTGCAGGTCGGCGTCCACCAGGAGCTGCTGCAGCGCCTTCGCGACCGCCTCCTTCGGGACGCTCGCGCGCGCCACGATGGACAGGATGGTGGGGTCGATGGGCCTAGACCAGCCCGTCTCCAGCAGCGGGGCCTGCGGGGTGGCCGACGCCACGACGCACATCTCTGCGCGGAGGTCGTCCATCTCCTGACGAAGGCGGCCGAAGTCTACCATCCGCTGCTCCATGCTGCCCAGGCGCGAGTCCACAGCGGCGAAGCGGGCGTCGACGGCCTGGGCGAACTCCTGCTGGGTCGACTGGAAGATCTGCGAGAGGGTGTTGGTAGTCGACTGGATCTGCGAGCCGAGGCGGCGCTCCATGTTGGCCAGCATGCTGGAGAGGGTCGCCGCACCACAGGCGGCGGCAGGAGCTCCCCCTGCCGCTGGCGGCGGGCCGAATCGCTGCGCGGCCGCTGCCGCCCAGGCGTCCTGCTCGCCGTGCTGCGGGGGCGGCTGCGACGCGAAGGTCGGCATGAGCTCGAGCGCCGCGGCGTCGCCCTCGGAAAGCTCCATGCCGCGCAGGGGGCCAGCGGCGGCTCCTCCTTCAGCGGGTCCGCCAGTGCGTCTTCCCTGGGCGTCGTGTGGCGAGGCAGGGGGCACCACATCCCAGCCAGATAGGCGGGCGTCGCGCTGGCGACGAGGACGTGGCGCGGCCTCCTCACTGGCGGCGGCCTGCTGGCGTCGATCCCGACGGCGTTCACCACGTCGGCGATGCTCGCTGCGGGAGGTGCTCCTGCTGCCCACGGTGTCAGGCGAGGAGCTGCTGGCCTGCCTGCCGCCGCCGCCGCCGCCAGAGGCCTGATGGCCACACGCCCTGCCCACTGGAGCATCCTGGGCCGACATCGTGAGGCGAGAGGAAGAATTGTCGTCCTTGTCTGCTGCCGCTGCCCGTGTTAGCGCAGAACGGCGCGAGTACACGGGCTGTGTGTGTCGGAGTAAAAGCAGGCCCGCCGACGGCCCTGCGGTGTTGGGCGGCCGAGGGCGGGCCCGCGGCTGACCTGGCCAGCTGCCTCGACAAATGGTTTACTTGAGCCAAAATGGCTTGAGCCAAAATGGCTACGGAGGAGAAGGAGGAGGAGGAGGAGGAGGAGGAGGAGGTGGAGGACGAGGAAAAGGAGAAGGAGAAGGAGGAGGAGGAGGTGGACGAGGAGGAGGAGGAGGAGGAGGAGGAGGAGAAGGAGGAGGAGCAGGATTCTGCCGGGACGCGGCAAGCATAGCAGCTAGTGTCGGCCCTAACGGAGAAGCAAAGGAGGGGCAGGAGGACTTGCTCGGCTTTGGTGTTTTTTCTCTCGGCTCGGCACACGCGGTGGCGGAAGTGGCCCCGATCAGATGGGGAGGCACCACCACCTCCGCGCAAGCGCATGCAGAAGCCTTGCTTGCGCTCAGGCTGTATCCAGGAGGGCCAGGACGCAGAGTTGGAGAACAAAGGGGAAGAGGGGAGGGAGGAAGAGTGGGAGGGCGAAAGAGGGATGCGTGGAGAGGGAGGACGAGGAGATGGAAAGGGACCCTGGGGGAGGGGGGGGGGGGGGGGGGCAAAAAGGTCTCGAAAGCGCTACTCCCTCGACCTCTCCTGGGTGCGTTTTTTGACCCGGATCGCGAAGCGCGAAAAGCGAACCCAGCCGTGGCGGCGAGGGCCTCCCACGAGGCACACAGAAGCGCAAACGGGGCAAGGGTGGCGATACCGTCTTTGGCGATACCGTCTTTCGCTTTTGTTGTTGCGCGCGAGGCAGGGACAGGCAGGCAGCCAGGCAGACACACAGACAGACGGACAGACCGACAGTCAGACAGACAGTCAGACAGACAGAGAGACAGACAGACAGACAGACAGACAGACAGACAGACAGACAGACCGACAGACCGACAGACAGACAGAGAGACAGACAGATAGACCGACAGACAGACAGACAGAGAGCGCTGAGATCCGTCTTTGTGAAATAGCTGCGCTGGCGCAACAGCTCAACAACTCACACCTGGAGCCCCAGACTTCATATCTTTCTGCTGCATATCTGCTGAGCCCCATCGACCTGCGATGACCCTGGGACCCGAATTCCAACGAAAACTCCCGGTGAAAAAATTGAAACACCAACGTCTCAACGGAAACCCCCATTTTCTGCTCCCCACGATCGCAGGTGCCGAAGCGGCCCCAGATGCCCCGACCCCTTCCCCAGGGATCATTTTTCGTCCGGATCCCGTTTTGATGGCCCCCGGTCCTCAAGATTTGTGTTGCAAACTACCTCCTCCCCGCCCCAGCCAGATTCCACCGCCCTGGGCCACGTTCAGTATGGAAACAAACACGCCCCAGGGAGGGCACCTTGTAAACCAGACCCACGACTATAGGACCCTCGCCCGCCCCCTCTTGCTTCCGGGTGTGGTCGACACATTGTCCGAAACCTGTGCAGAACGCCGGGATCGTAAAACTCATATCCTCGGAGATATCTGGGACCCCGTTGCCACGGCGCTTTCACAGCAGGAGCTCGACCACAAGAGACCTTTCGCAACAAACCCGGCCCTGAGACTCCAGGACGTCCATTGTTTTTTTGTGGGGGAACGTCACGATTTCCATCGCAAAACCATCGTTTCCCAAGAAGCCCAGGACACCCTGGAGGCAAGCAGGGTGTTTCTTGGCATGGGCTTCCAGTTTTATGAAAGACGCCCAGGTTGTAAACATCAGCTCCTGTTCGGAGATATCGGGGAACCCCTTCGCCCCGGCGCTTTTGTGGCTCGCCCCCGAGTCCCGGGTGCCGCGGCGGTCCCACCACGAGAGCCTCGGCTCGCGCAGGTCCGCGGAGCCGGAGGGCGTGCGGCCGCTCACGATGGCCGCCAAGGCCGCGTCCGTGCCCCCGCGACGTCGGTTCGGTGGCAACTCCCAGGAAGGGCGTCTGCTGGTATCGAGGGGTGTCTGCTGGCACGGCAGGGGCCCAGATCTGCGCCGACACGACGTTCCCCATCTCAAAGAAATCTGGGGTTCTGATTGCTAGGACGCCTCCGTCCCCTCACTCCCTCTGGCCTCCTTACCTTGCTCATCGCACTCAGATCACTCGTACTGAGACCCACCCACACTCATCCGAATTTTACTTCCCCGTCGTACTCTGACTGATTTGGTGGGACCTCCTGGAAGGTGCCTGTTTGAGGGGCAACGTTAGGGGGGGACCGAAATTTCGAGATTCGAGGTGTTCGAGCGTTTTCGTCGCTGCTCGGCGGCTCTCTAGTCCCGAGACGCCTGCTGGCGGCTGCGCCTCGCCGAGGGGTGTCCAGGGCTGCCTGGAGCGCCCCGAACGGCCGCAGGGGGGCCGAGGGATGGCCAGAGAGCAACAAAAGGGGCCAGCAGCCAGGAAGGCACCCGCTGGCAGGACGAGAGCCCACACACGCTGGCGTCGTGAAAAGTGAGCGTTCTCTTTTTTTGCGGCGCTTCGACACTGGGCGGAGGGGGGGGAGGGAGGGGGGGGGGTTCTGGCTTCGGACGTCTGCTTAGTTCGACTGCTCGCAACAGTGCGTCCTATGATGGAGAGCCCACATGCTCGAAGCAGACGCCAAAAACCAAAATCTACTCCATGGGAGGGGGGGGGGAGCGATGAGCCGCGCCGATCGGCAAAACACTGAATAAGGAAACAAGCACCTGGCGTCGTGAAAAGAGAGCACGGCACGGCAAAAACTGCTTGGCCGTCGGTCTCTGGGAGCCCTCCCCAGGCCCCACGACCGTGAACAAAACGACCCGGGACGAAACGAACTGGCACTGAGGAAACGGTCGGGACTTCTGGGGGCCCGTACGTCAAACATGAATTCTGTGGGCACTCCAAGAGGGGAGCGGGGCAACGTCAGGGGGGGCACGGCTACGGGGAAGAAACATCGAGGCAGCATCGTCGATACATCGCCGTTGGATCGGCGATAAGCCTCCGATTGCGGATCCGCAGGGTCCTGGGCGGGATAGGCCATCAGGCCCCTATCGGCGGTGAGCGGGCGATCGGGGGTTGCTGCATCCTCCCAATCTGCTCCCCCCCCACCCCTGACACTGCCTCTGACTGCTGGCACGACCGAAGCCTAACCCTCCGAAGACATGCGTTTTGTTCCAATCTGGGCGTTCTTCCTCGATGTCGGCTTCTGGAGCCCGTTGCCGCGCGCCGGAACAACAGAGAATGTTTCAGGCACGCAGAACCAACCCTGGGAAGGAACTCGGGAGTTCTGGGCCGCGGACTGATCAAAAACATATTGGAGGATGTCTGCGAACGGGCCCTTGAAGTTTTCTCCGTTTTCGGGCTCGTCAGCCTTCCACGGACCCCAGGGGCGTCAAATCACGACTCTGGATGAAGAACTTGCACCAGAGACAGCCACAGAAGCTGGAACCTGTTTCACACAGGACCCCTGGCCTTCAAGGCGATTTTGTCGCTGCGTTGGATCAAAGAGCCACTGTGCCAGAACTGTGTACTGCTAGACTGGGTTCAGCCATCTGGACCGTTGCAAATCTTATTAGGCTGAATCTGGCGGGAGCAGCACAAGCGCCACCTGCAGAACTAAATCAACCTCCAAGGAGTTGCAACCGAATCTTGTGGCTGCTGATTGGGACAGCTCCAGTTGCCAGCGTGGCTGGCGGAGGAACCTGAAAGGATACACTAAACGCACCAACTCATAATTGATGCCTGGAATTGGCTCCCCATAGGTGTCCAAGACGTCAGGCTTGCCCTCAGCCCCTTAAGAGGTCTGTCCCGCACCGTTCCCCGGGAGTGGCTTGCTAGGATGGTGGGCGCACGGTGAGGAATGCCAGCGCCAATCAACTTGCCAAACAGAGCCAACAAGGAAGACATGACTCAAGCGGTCATTGTGACGCCGTACATTCGCGAACATGCAGGCGCTCTGGTGGAGCTCACTGTCTACACGTGCATGCATGTATACATATACACATACATTTACATATACATTCACACATACATATACATGCACATGTACCTACACACATGTACCTGCACGTATTCATCCATTCATTCATTCATTCATACATGCATACATTCAAGCACACACATATATCCATACAAGCATACATACAACCAAATATATGTGTGTATATATACATGTTGACATGTATACATACATATACATGCATACATACATGCATGCATGCATGCCTGTATACATACATACATGCATACATGCACACATGCATGAAGCATGCATTGATGCATGCATGCTTGCTTGCGTACATACATACATGTGTATACATACACGTGATCACATAGACGCATGCATGCATACAGACGTACATGCATACATACGTACATGCGTGTATACATATATATATATATATATGTATATACATATACATATACATATAACAATATATGTATATATACATGTATTCCGCTATCTGTGTGTTTACCATGTGGAACCCTGCGAAAACCCGCGCCACCTAAACGGGAACCTTGGATCCCTGGCCCCGGGGGGGGGCCCTGGACGCGCTTGCAGAAGGCTCCCCGGGCTTTTAGGAGCTCCTGGAAGCCCTTGCTGGGCCCAGGCAGCGAACGCAGATCGGTCAGGAGGGCGGCCGAACAGCCCCCAGAGGGCCCCAAGAGGCCCCACGCACTCACCAGACGCCCGAGGACGACCCGAACACCCTCAAGAAGCTTTCGACATGCAGAAGAACAGTGATTTCCAATTGTTCTGTTGCATGATTTGGGGAATGCTCTGTTCTTCGGTCTTCCAGGCGTCCGAGACCGCTCAAGAGGCCCGACAATGATGGCAAAGCTATCCGAAAAAACTTCAAGCAATCTAAACGACACCCCAAACGGCCCAACAGGGCCCCAATATGGCCCGAAAAGAGCCCCATGATGGCCCAAGACGGCCCCAAGACGCCCCACGAAGCATTCCAAAGCGTGACCCGGTCGTTCAGGGAGACCGCAGTTGGAAGCAGGGTGGCCCGAGGAAGCCCCCAGAGGCCCCCAGATGGCGCCCAGGAGGCCTCCAGAAGGTCCCCCAAAGCAATGTACAATTTTCGTGAGGCCCACGAAAAGCTCTCCAAGGAAGAGCCTCCGAAAAAAGACCAGAGGAGCGCGGGTAAGAACTCGCAAGGGAGGGCGGGAATGAAGACGAGGAAGAGGAAAAATGGAGGAAGGACAATGAATGGCATCATTTTGACGACGATGTCAGACAAGGCAACGAGGAGTTATCGCGGTTGTTCCTGCTTGAGCTTCCTGCCCGTCCGCCGCGACTTCCGCCTGCACGCCAGCCTTCAAGGACCAAGGTGCATGGCGCGAAGGGCCAATGTAGTCTTTATCTCTATATATATATGTATAGACAAGTATGTATGTAGATATAGACATCTACTGATACGCACCTATCCGATGAATTGAAGCCGCGTGTCTGTTTGTTGGCAGATTCGCTGGGGACATTCTCAAACCTCTGTGGTCATCGGACGCACCCCTCACGCAGATCGTGACGACACAGTCCAACAACACAGTCTTTTCCAGCAAATTTGGCATCACACCTTCAAACGCACAGTGCAACTCAAGGACTTTTAACCCGATTCTTCAAACATCGCAATTTCGCCCGAGACATCCTCCAAAAACCAAATCCCTTTCTGAACGCGTTCTATTTCAAGCAGGTTCACCTGAGACATCCTCCGGCATCGAGCCCCGACGTACAAAACACATGGTACACACAGAACGAACACATACCACACACACACACACACACACAACACACACATATACATAACACACACACGCACACCAGCCACAACACAAAGAACACACACGAAGAACACATACGCATCCAACACACACACACATCACACACAACACACCCAACACATGCAACATACACACACCGCCCACACACAACACCTAGCACACATAACTCGCAGATCACACAATAACCACACACACCCCACTCACACGCACACAAAACATACAATTCAAACCTTGCACACTACATACCACACATCGTGCAGAGGTGTTTGTATAAGCCCGGGCACGCGCGCGCCACTAGGTGCATGTATGTGTATATACATATCTGCATATAAAGATTTGCGTGTATATTTGCATACACATTCATGTTTACACATATGTACATGCACACACGTATGACACCGTTCCTGCATGGAGTGGGCTTACTAACATGCGTGTATGTCGTCTGGGAGGGTGGCTACATATTTTTTAGCGCCAACCGCCCCTCGGCCCACGCCTCCCGAAACACATCCCTGAAGTTGTTGTCCAGCTGTCTGTTCGACCTCCTGGCGGCCAATCTGGCCTCGAGGACGACTTACCATGCAGACAAGACGACACCCAAACTGCTCCAGATGGCCCGTAAGGCCCGAGAGGCTCCCGAGACGGCCTCAAGACGGCCCAAGAGGCTCCCAAGAAGGCCCGAGAGGGCCCCAAGAGGCCCTCCAAGAAACGAGGAAGCAAAAACCAATGATGCTCCCAAGGTTTTTGTTTAGTTGTTGAGGTCCTTGTCTGTTTGGGCTTCCGACCGCCCAAGACTGCCCAAGAGGCCTCCAATGTAGCTCCAAGACAGCCCATGCGGCCCCCAAGAGGGCCCCGAGTCAGCCCAAGAGGACCCAAAGATCGCCCAAGAGAGGCTCCCAAGAGGGCCCCGAGACGGCCCTGAAGCGCTCCAGGAGGGCACCAGGAAGGCCCAGGGAAGCCCCCAAGACAGCATCCGAAGTTGTCATACAGGCCAAGTGGTCCTCTAAGACGGCCCAAGAGGCCCCCAAGAAGCTCGCAAGATGCCCCAAAAATGCCCCAGGAGGCCCTTAGGATCCCGCCAGGAGGCCCTCACGATGCTCCCAGGAGGCCCAAACAAGAGGGCCTCAACAGGCCTCCTTGTCCTCCTGCTCCTCCTGCTCCTCCTGCTCCTCCTGCTCCTCCTGCTCCTGCTCCTGCTCCTCCTCCTCCTCCTCCTCCTCCTCCTCCTCCTCCTCCTCCTCCTCCCCCGCCTCCTCCTCTTCCTCCTCCTCCCCCTCCTCCCCCTCCTCCCCCTCCTCCCCCTCCTCCTCCTCCTCCTCCTCCTCCTCCTCCTCCTCCTCCTCCTCCTCCTTGCTGAAGTGCAGCGCGGCGTGAAAACGACCTTCGAGGTCAAATTCACGGCCCGTCCAAGTTCAGACGGACCGCTGAAATGAAACGGCGCGTGAGCTCGACCTCCCTCTTGCCGCGCGGTCGAAACCGAGGTTGAGTTTACGCCCCGTCTCAGTTCAAACCACTCGTCGGAATTGCGCTGTTCCTGCACTTAGCCTCCTTCCTGCTGCGCTACTGCACAGGCACGGTGGCGGGGTTTGCCGCAGGCAGGTTGATATATATATATATATATACACACATATATATATAACTACACAAATATGTATAACTATATGTGTACATAAAATATGTGTACATATATAATATATACATATGCAGATGTATATGTATATATATCTACATACATACATACATACATACATACATACATACAAACATACATACATACATACATATATACATACATACATACATACGTACATACATGCATACATACATACAAACAAACATATGTATACACACACTAGAACCATCGCGCGCGCTTCGCGCGCGCTCAAGTTCGAGCTAGGCTTGATAGGCTAACTCATGTAATATCATTGTGGTCGCTTCTTGTGACCAGGGACTCCCTTGGAGGCCCTGCGCAAGCCTCGTGACTTTCTGAAACGCTGAAACGCAGAAATGTTTAATGTCCTTTTTAGGTATTCAACGATTTGGGGCCCTCAGAAAATTCCTGGGTTCTTTTTGGGGAGTTGGGGGGGGTCTGAATTGTGGTCTGTTGTGCAAGAGTAGACCGGGGGCCAAAGCTGGAAAAAAAGGAATTGGGTATTTCTATGTTTTCCAGTTCCTCGGCGTTGTTCGGCGCTGTTTTTTGTTTGTGCCTCGCGGGTTTTGTTGGCCGGGCCCCCAGGAGTGTGGGATCTTCCGGACCCCCTGGGGGTTCTGGAGGCCTCCTGAAAGCCTGGAGAGCCGTCGGAAGGGTGTCTCGGGCTGCGCGGGAGCGTGTTGAGCCGTTCTTTACGTCCTGGGGGCTCCTTGGGGTCGTCTTGGGCTGTCCTTGGGCGTCTTGGGGGCCCCCCAGGAAGCCGGGAGGCGCGGTACCGGCCAGATGTCAGGGGATGTGTGGGATCTCCGAGCAGGAATCCACTTTGAAAAAAAGGAATTATTGGATTTCCCTTTTTTGTTCAAAATGCTCGATCTTCGAGGGTTGGAAGCGGGGAAACGTGAGAAGGCGAAAAACATAAGAAAAACCATTGGAAATTGACCCTGTCTGGAGGAGGGCGAAGCCTGTTCGGATAACGGGCGATCTAGAGGCGCGGGTGCTTTACACGTCGGGGACGAACGGCGAATAGCCAGCGCCGAGTGTGCCGTGTGCTGGCCACTCACCGCAGGCGTCGGCGCCAATTGTGTCGCTGGGTCACGGCTCGGCGGGGTCACGTCCCCGCGGGGCCGAGTGCCTGCCGTTCCTTGGCAGGGCGCTGTGCAGGGCGCGGGCCGTCGCAGGGACGGCACCCTGCGGGGCCGTTGGGCCTGCCGTTCCGCGACAGTGCGCCGTACAGGGCGCGGCGCGGCGCACGACCGAACGACGACCGTCGCAGCGCGGCGCGTTTCCTGCGAGCGCCTTCGCGCCGGCCGCGACGATCACATTCGATCCCCGCCCACCCGCCCGCTCCGCGTCACGACGCGCGCGTGCCGCGGCGAAGGACGAAAGCTACGGCCGGTGCGCGGCCGCCACCTCCGCTCCCGCTTCCCGAGGCAGCGGCCAGCACGGAAGTTTGGGGAGGTGCTCACAGGGACGAATCCTGGTGGCTCCTTCCCTGGTGGGCTGGGGGTACACTTGCCCCCTTGATGCTGGGGTAAAGCATCTACCAGCGTCGTGAGATCAACGATGTTACCCTCTTTGGGCTCTCTCGGGACGGCTCTCGCAGCTCTCTTGGGTTGTTCTTGGAGCCTCGTTGGGGGGTCTTTTCGGGGCCTCTCAGGGATCGAGGGTGTGTTGGGGGCCTCGGGGGGGTCCCGGAGGCCTCTCGGAGGTCTCTAGAAGCCTCCTGCTGCCGCTCGTGGGCCCATCTTGGGCCTGTTCTGGGGTGATCTGGGGCTGTCCTGGGCGCCTCTTCGGCAGTCTTGGAGCCTTCTTGGCCCATCTTGGGGCCGTCCTGAGGGTCTCTTGGGTGGTCTTGGGGCGGTCTTGGGCGGCTCTTCGGCGTTCTTGGAGCGTTGGAAGCTCGAAACTGCGAGAAGCCAGACACATGGGAAAAACAAAGGAAATCTACGATTTTGGCCTCTTCGGGCCGTCCTGGGACGCCTCTCGAACCTCTCTTGGGGTCTCTTGCAGGCCACCTGGGAGCCTCGACAGCCGTCGGAAGGCTGACTTGGGCTGCTTGGGAGCGTTTTTGGCCATCCTTTCGCATTCTGGGGGCTCCTAGGCGGCGTCTTGGGCCCTCCTGGAGCGCTGTGGAGGCTCCCCGGAAAGGGCGGAGGAGCGGTACCGGGAGCGTTCCCGAGATGTTCCGGGGAGGTGTGGGACCCGGGGCCGGGGGGCGCGGTATTCATGTATATTATATATAGACACATATGTATAGACGTACAGGATTGCATTGGCGCTTCGCGCCATGCACCTTGGTCATTGAAGTCCGGCATGCAAGCGGAAGTCGCAGCGGAAGGGCAGGTAGGTACGACATGAGCAACAACGATAACTCCTCTTTGCCCTGTCTGGCCTGGCGGTCATGAAAATACAATCCGTTATCCTTCCCATCATGTTTTCTTTTCCTCTTCCGCATTCCCGCCCTTCCCTGCGAATTCTTCCCCATGCTGTTCTGCTCGTGTTGTGTAGACTCCAAGGAGCTTCTTGGGGGCCTTCCGGAAATTTGGCATAGCTTCTCGAGGCCTTCTGGAGGCTTCCTGTGCGCCTTCTGGAAGCCTCTGGGAGCTTCCTCGGGCCATCCTGCTTCCGACTCCAGTCTCCCTGAACGGGTGGGTCACGATCTGGAATATTTCGGGGAGCGTCTTGGGGCCATCTGGGGCCGTTTTGGGGGTCGCTTGGACTGCCCGGAAGCCACTTCGGATCGATTCGGCATGGTTGTCGGGCCTCTTGAGAGGTCTTGGACGCCTGGAAGACAGAAGAACAAAGCAGTCCCAAAATCATGCAGCAGCCATTGGAAATCAATGTTCTTCTGCAATGCGGAAAGAAAGGCTCTTGGGGGTGTTCTTTGGGTCGTCTTCGGGTGATAAGAGGCCCCTTGTGGCCCTCGTGGGGCCGCTCGGCCGCCCTTCTGAACGATTTTGGCCCGCTGCCCGGGCCCAGCAGGGGCTCCCAGGAGCTCCCCACAGCCAAGGGAACCTTCTGCAGGGGCGTTCATGGGCCACTGGGGCCGAGGATCCAGGGAGGTGCGCAGGGCCCCGGATTGTACACACACGCATAGATGTACACATATATATGTATGTATGTATGTATGTATGTATGTATGTATGTATGTATGTATGTATGCATGCATGCATGCATGCATGCATGCATGCATGTATGTATGTATGTATGTATGTATGTATGTATGTATGTATGTATATATGTATGCATGCATGCATGCATGCATGCATGCATGTATGTATATATGCACGTGTAAAAGAAGTGCGCATATAGAAGTAGATGTGTAGGTATGCATCAACTCTAAAAGTCTCTAGGGCCCCCCAATATGGGAATCTAGTTGTCTGTTCGACGCCCTTGTTGACGGACTGGGGCCCCAACACTCCGCGGCACCCGCCGCACAGCAACGACGACGACGACGACGACGACGAGATGAGGAGATTGTGAGCAACGCCTTCGGCGAAGAATGTGTCGATCCAGGTTGCAATCCTTTCAAAAACGTGCTCAAAATGCCCCTGTCGTGCAGGGTGGTCCAGGGAGCATTATTCCCTGGCAGAAAGAAACCCCCAACATGACCCAGCCCGCCCAACAATAGAAGGACAATAATCTCCGGCACGACGGCGACGACGACGCTTACGACTGCGTCTAAGATTGCGACTGCGCATGCAACTACAACGCAGAGCCTGAAAACGCGTCGGTGTATAGAGCTTGTTCCCCTATACACTCAGTTTCAGTTGACATGCCTATGTCTCGATGGTGCTAATATTCCATCGCTGGCACGGCACCAAAATTAGGGCGAAAACCGTAGGGCACAGACCATGGGGCACCGAACGCACCAACCACGGCACCAACTGTAGGGCACCGCAGGGCACCCGCCACAGGACACAAAGACCACACCAAGCAGAGCCCACGCCAACCATTGGGGCTCGAGCCATGGGGCGTAAACCATTTGATACCCAGCGCTTGCGTCTTCAGAATCGGGTTTCGGCAGCGAGCGACGGGGGGAAGAGAGAAAGAGAAGGCCTTCTCAGAAGGCGGTGGGACTTCTCAGAAGCACTCGCGCCTTTGAGAAGTGTTGTGTGTCTTCGGGGAAGGTTCAGACCGGGGGACTTGCGAGCCTTCTGAGAAGGCCAGCCCCTTCTCATTTCCCACCCTCGCTCGCCGCCGAGGGTTGGGCCTGACGCTGTGATCTCGAGTGCCCTGGGGCCTTTTATCAAGACCTCAACTCATGTTCGGATGTGGGTGCGCGTCGAAGCTGAAGCCAATGCTTCCCATGAGTCCTGCGCAGTACTGGAACCTGGCTGTCACTTGCACTGGAAAACGGATGCTGGTGCATGCAGGATCCTGGTGTATACATGTTTCGTGGTTTCCCGGGGAAACATAACAAATATACACTACACCACCCCGACGTCGTCCTCGACCCTTTAAACGTCCCGGTTTTGCAAAGCAGCTGCAACTGGTAATGTACATGTTCCAGTTTCCGAGCACGTGCACGCGCGTGCTGTAGAGGCGCATGGCGCGTGTGCAAGATGCGCACTCGTGGAGCTGGTCACTTTCAGCTCCCCGAGGCCTCTGCCAACTCCACCGTCCGGGGCAGCCATACGACCATGGGACCAGGCGCGCGCTGGGCCCAGGCAAAATACGGGACCATCGTCAGCGCCTTCCTGGCAATGAGCGGGGCGCCGCCCTCGCCACGCCCCGTCATGCACTCCGCCTCGCCGTGCAGCGCCACGACGCCCCCGAGCAGCCCCGCCTCGTACCGCGGCTCCGGCAGAGGGGCGCCGTCCCGCAGGAAGACGTCCATGACGCTGCCGCCGTGGTCGGCCCCCTCTTCCGGACGCCCGAAATGGGTACGGAAAGCATGGGTACAATGCCCAACAGCAGTTCCTGTTCATTCTGAACAGGATTCGCTGTCCACGCCGCCGCGGCCTGTGTCCATTCGAGGCAGAAGGCCGCCTGCCCAACAGCGGCGGCTGTTGGTTTGGGACAACATTTGAATAACATTTGTTGTTTGGCATTGTACCCATTTTTTCCGTACCCATTTCGGGCGTCCAAACCTCTGCGCAGTACACGACCGGCCCGCGCTCGACCGCGACCCGGCCCCGGTCGGCCTCCACCCGCGCGTCCGCGAGCACGCGCCGCACGGGCATGCCCAGCAGCAGCTCCACCGCCGTGCGGCCCGGCTGCCACTCGCGCTCGAAGACAGCGTAGCCCCTCCGCAGGGCCGGGGCCGCGTCGGAGCACCCCACCAGGCGGGCGCTCCAGCCGGCGGCAGGCGCCTCGCCGGCGTAGCCGTACAAGCCGCCGGGAGTGCGGGGGTCGCTGAAGGTGCCCCTGGCCCAAGGTGCACGCTTGTCGCTGCACTTGGGCGCCCCTGGGGCCCCCTGGGCTGCGCGAGGGGTGCTCTGGAGGCCGTCGGAGCCTCCCTCCCTCCCTCCAACTTCCCTCCTCTGGGCCTCCTCCTCCTCCTCCTCCTCCACCTCCTCCTCCTCCTCCTCCCTCCCTGAGATCCTGGGGACCCCTCGGGCCAGGGTCGACACTGCGGGCAACCCCCGAGGAGTGGCCTCGCCGCGGGCCCAGCCTGGAACGCGCAGAAGGAGCGCGAAGCGCGCGGGGGTACCCATCGTCACGGACACCGTGACCCGCCCGTCCCAGGGGTACCGCGTCTCCTTTTGGTTGACCCAAAAGGGGGTCCAGCTGAAAGGGGGTGGTGCAATAGATGCGGGGCAGTAGTATTTCAAACGCACTGCGACGGAGAACTGCATTGCATTGTATTGCAGCGAATGCGTTGCGCGCGAAACTCCAGCAGTGCCTCTGCGCACTGGACTGCATTGCACGCTCCAAAGCTACTGCAGCCCCAGAAGTGTATTGCGCCACATCTACTGCACCACCCCCCTCCAGCTGGACCCCCTCTCGGGCCCACCAGCGCTTCCTGGGCCAGCTCCACGGCGATGCCGTCGTGGACGTCCAGCCGCACCGTGCCCTCGATGTAGAGATGGCGGTGAGCCGACGCCCCGCACACCCTCCCCGGAGCTCGGCCAGCGGTCGCCCCTCCCGAGCCCTCTCGCCCCGCTCCGGGGCATGAGACCCAGGTTTCCGATGCATGGGCGACAGTCGGGCGTTGCTAGAAGTGACCCTGGCCCAGAGTGCCCCCAGGTTCTCCCAGGAGGCCCCCACGGCCTCCAGAGCACCCCTCACGAGGCCCAGAGGGCCCCAGGGGCAACAAGATTGAACGAAAAGCTGGGGGCACCTTGGGCCAGGGGCACTTTTAGCAACCACCGAAACAGAGGTCTGCGCCGCGCTCCCCCTGGGGCCGGCGCTTCGTCCCGAGTCGATTTCTGTCGACGCTCCCGGGCCCCCGCGAGGGCCCCCATGAGGCCGAACACGGCTGCAGACCGCCCGCTCCAATCTTTTGGGAGCGCCGGAAAGGCTCGCAGGTGTACGGTCAGGGAGCTGCTGCTTCGCGCATCGCGGCGACCGCCCCGGCGGCGCGCTGTGCCCTGTGAGCCGATGGCGTGTGGCTCCGCTCCGCGGTGCGGGAGGCTGGGACGATCCTCGGGGCGTTGACGCTTCTGGGCCAGGACGCGCTGAAGCATGGACGGTTCTCGTCGGCGCCGAGGCAAAGGCAGTCCGCTCCAGCGTGAGGCCAATCGGGGCAACCGAAAGGCGAATTGTCCAACGTGCAAGAGGACTGGCTGCGCGACGCGCTTACCAAAAGCTCCCGACCAAAGCAACCCCCATGAGCTTTTGGAGGGGAAGGGACGGAAGTGATGGCCCAGTTCTGCGGTGGGGGTGAGGCGACTGCTCACCAGCTTGCAGTACACAGAGCGCTCGCAGGTCGCGTAGACGAGCCAAGCCACCGATGGCATGCACCTGCGGGCCAGGGGAAGACAATAATGACGCCCATGGTATGCAATATCAAACGCAAGATACTAATATCGGGACACGTTATGGCCATCCTCAGGTGCTGGTAGATATGTCGTCAAAGAGCTGGCTCGGGCAGCTCCCGGGAGGGCACCTTCTTATTCGTGACATTGACTGGAGAGGCCCGAGTTGGCCTCCAACTGCTGTCCAGATGTTGCTCGACGACCCATAGCAAGAGTGTGAGCAAGCACTCCTGTGTGTGTGGATGTTTGTCCGCCGACGCCCTCCTGTACGTGAACAAAGGCGCTCTGGGGGCTGCCAATGTCTCCAACGTTACTGGCGGAGGCTGGCGAGGTACAGCTACGTCCGATACGCCTTCCTGCATTCAACGGCCTGGCTCTAGCCTGGCCTGGGGCTGCGCAAAGGCAGCCCCCTCAGGCTCGCTCAGCCCAGGCTGACGTCAACATAGGCCCCCTGCAGGGCAGCCTGGGGCGGCCTCGACACTTCAACCCCGAGTGTTGAGACCACTCCGGGCCCACGAGCGGCGAACACGTCCGTATCGACGCCCCCGCGGCCCAGGGCGCGATCTCGTGGATACGCAGTCGAATGCATGTGTGCCGCGCGGGAGGTGCGCGAGAACACGTGCGGTATCCATGGGATCGCGGCCCAGGGACCCGACCCACAAGGCCGTGGCTACAGAGATACTCCCTGGCCACGATGGACGTCCCTGAGCAGGGATTGACCTGAACAGTGTTTTTCGTTTTCGTTTTGTGTTCGTTTTCCCTCGCTTTGTCTTCGTTCAACCTTTGATGCAAAGCGAAATCGAAACGAAAACTACCAACGATATCGCCAAAACACAGCTTAGGTGGAGCCCTGTCCCTGACGGCCTATTGAGGCCAACTTGGACCACATAATCACTGAAGGCCGCCTGCCCAGGAAAAGGGCACTCTCTTTGTGCGGTGCCCCTGGCACCGGCACACGTTCACGGGGCAGCAGGAGCAGCTGAACCAGGGGGAGCGACACCTGCCCGCGAACCTCGCCTCCAGCGGACAACACAGGGGCGTATGGGACCCCACGTGATTCGGCCGTCTTCGTGAATCTACGGCCATGAACTTTTGCTTCGCGTGAAGCGGCAGCGGCCCTGGCAGCACGCTAGGCCCTGCACGCGGACATCGTGTCGCTTCGCTCGAGAGGCGAGAAGATTTGACGAGCTCGGGACGTCGAAGGCTGGGGATGGTGAAGTGGGGATTGGTCAGCGTAGCGCGTCGAAGCGTGGTGGGCCAGAGCCAGCGGCGCGACACGCTAACCAAAAGTTCCCGACCGTGGCAAGCACCATGAGCTGTTGGGGGCAGGGGAAACATGAGATGCCCCGGTTCTGGGGTGGGAGCGTGGCGACAGCTCATCAGCTTGCATTATACAGAGCGCTCGCCACCGCCAGAGCGCTCACCAGCTTGCGGTACACAGAGCTTGCAGTACACAGAGCGCTTGCAGCCCCACCAGGCGTGCCCCTCGGACGGGGCGGGCGTTTCGCCAAAGACCAACTACCATCTTGTTTGGCCACGGGTCGCGAGGCCTGAAACCTCCAACGCAGCTGCACGGACGCTGGCCAGACCCCTCAAACAGCATGCGGCTCCCCGCCTTAGCGCCGCACGCAATCGCCCAAAAAGCCTTCACAGCTGCACCGAGGGAATGCAAACCGATGTCAAATGCGTTCGCCAAGGGCACTGCTGCGCATGCTTGCAGCAGTTGCACGGGTGGGCCGCGCTCAATTTTCACACTGCGGTCCTCGCTTGGGGCCGCCTCGAATTGAAACCTCAAATTCCCTAGACTGCTGGAGGGCGTTTCTTCTCCCCCCACACAGCGCTTGCCCTTACAGGTTCTTTTTCTTACTTGGTTTCAAAAATAACTGAGCCTGAGTGGCGGTCTGGCTAGCTCGTTGACGCCAATCGCCGCTGCCATCGCCGCGGGTAACTGGGCCTGAAAGGCGGACTGGCCGGCTCGTTGCAGCCCGTCGCCGCCACCGTCGCCGCTGGCAAATGAGCCCCAGTGGCGGTCCAGCCGGTTCGTCGCCGCCCATCGCCGGCGTCGTTCGCACAGGCAAGGCAACTGGGCTCCAGCGCCGTCCTGGCCAGCTCGTCGCGGCCCGTCGCCGCTGCTGTCGCCGCTGATAGATGAACCCCGCTGCCGCCCGGGCAAGATCGTCGTCGCCAGTCGCCGCATTGTTTTGCTTTTCTTTGCGTCGCATTGCATCCCATTGCGTTGTTTTGTGCCGCATAGATGGCACTGCATAGATTGCATATTCTAGATTGTCCCACGTGAAGTGCCCCAAACAAACATTGCACCGTGTAGATTGCAATGCACGATGCCAAAGAAAAAACAAAGTAAGCGTCTTTTGGGGGCTATTGGGCTATGGGTTTTTGGGCTATAGAGCGATGGGTCTATAGGGCTATGGAACTATACGGCTATGGGGCAAAGGGGCTATAAGTCTATATGGTTATAGGGCTATAAGGCTATAGGGCGATAGGGCTACGGTTATGGGGCTATGGGGCTCTGGGGCTATAGGGCCATGGGGCTGTGAGTCTATAGTGCTACCTTGCCATGGGGCTGTCGGACAATAGGGCTGCAGGGCTATATGGGTATGGGGTATGGGGCTAAAGGGCTATATGCATATATCGAGCTAAAGGGCTATATGGCTATGGGGCTACAGGGCTATAAGGTTACAAGGCTATAGTGCTATAGGGTTGCAGGGCGATAGGGCTATTGGGCTGTGGGGCTATGGGGCTAGAGGGCTAGACGGCTACAGGGCGAAAGGGCTATAGAGCTATAGGGCTCTAGGGCTATGAGGCCACAAGACTATAGGGCTCTGGGGCTCTAGGGCGATAGGGCTATTGGGCCATGGGGCTATACGGCTCTGGGCCACATGGCTATAAACCTATAGGCCTATAGGCCCATAAGGTTCAGGGCTACAGGGCTATCAACCACTTGGGCACCCGGGCACCTGGGCACCGGGGCACCCTGGCGGGCCGCGGCAATCGGTGGCAAACCGCACCTAACCATATGAAGCCGCTAGGACCCTTTCAGAGGAAAGCTCTGCTTGGGGAAGTAGGGCTATGGGGCTATAGGGCTACAGGACCATAGGGCTTTAGTGCTATACGGATATCGGGCCATGGGCATAGGACTATCGGGGACATACACAAACGGGAAACGTTATAGCAAAATCAATGATACCGGAGAAAAAAACCGAATCTGGGCTATAGGGCTAGGGGACCATAGGGCTATAGAGCTA